TGCTCGTCAGAGAGACGCGCACGGACACCAGAGCGGGACACCCGCACACCCCTGCCAGGACGGCTCTCGACAGTGAGTCAATGAACAGCGAGTGCTGGCCAGGACGCGGTGCCAAGGGACCCCCGTGCACGGGTGGGTGGGCCGCCCGCTGCAGCCACGGTGGGAAACAGCTCGGAGTCTCGTTTACACACGGAATCTACAAAAAACGAAGACGCTGAGGAAACAAAACAAAGTAAAAACAGACCCACAGATGCAGAGAACAGCCTGAGGGCTGCAGAAGGACAGGGGCGGGGGTGGGATTTAAAAAGGAAATGAATAAAACAGTTTTAATAGGTGGTAAAATTCTTTTGAGAGATTTTAAAGTCTGCGTTCTATAAGGAAGTTAAGCAAAAGAGAATTTAAGAACAAGAAAGTAAAAACTTCTTAAAAAGTTAAGCCACTTCTTTGTATGACTGGCCAAGTCAGATGCCGCATTTCTAAGTGTAACTTACCAAACTGATCTCAGGAGATAGGACAGTTTAAACAGAGTACCATCCATACAGAAACAGCGAAACTCCCGAAGAACTGCTCTGCCCCCAAAACAGACCCACAGGACTGCACCAGGAAATCCTGCCCAGTCTGGGAAGAGCAGGGAGCGTGATGCCAAGGGCCGGGCCCCAGGACGGGAAGCCAGGAAACGCTCTCGGCTGCTCTCTCTGGGCGGGCGGGCCTGCGACCTTCCCCGGGGACGTCCCCGCAGAGCACGTTCATAACTCGCACCACACACTCGGCCGAGAACACAGGCGTCTCGCATCCGTGCTGCGGGGGCTTCACCCAGTCGGCCACTCTCAGAGCCCTGTGCGGGTGCTTTTGAGCAGCGTGGGCGGCGTCCACAGGGAGGCGTCCGAGGAAGTTGCCCGGCAGCAGCTGTGCTGGCCCCAGAGACCCGGAGATGCTGCCCGAAGCATCCGTGTTCTAACGGGCAGTTTTTAGTTTTCAGCGTTTAACTGCACTTCAGTTGTACTTTAAGAAATTGGTTGGGGACACAACCCACTGTGATGCACTGTGACTTTACAGGATGTCACTAGGGTCCCCACTCAGCAGTGGGGATGAGACGCGAACACCACGTCAGGTCGTCTGTGAGGTCTGTGAGGCTCAGCGAGAGTCGAGATGCGTGACACCAACGTCCTAACCTGTGGCGCTTCAACGGAACCCAAGAGGGGCACAGAGTCCGTCCCACTTTCAAGCATCAGCCCAAATATCCTACATAAAACATTTATTGTAAGAAAATTCATGATCATAAACCCCCACATTTCTGGGTGATCTCTATCGATGATGAAGGCCATCAGAAAATTCAACCTTAGTTCCAGATAAACACATTTACTAAAAGGGCACTAACAGGCAGTGTCTCATGACTTCATCACGCTGACACACACCCCCCAGCCCCAAACCAGCACCTGGCTGGGTGCCGGCACGAACGAGGCCGGCTGCCCACCAGCTCCACTCCGAGGCTGCTCTGGCCACTGCAGTCCGGCAAAGGACAAAGCAAAGCAAAACAAAAATGAGAGAGGTATACGTCTTGGAGTGAAATGGTTAGAACTATACTTGTAGACATTTTAATAACACACTAACCAGAAAAAACACAAGAGAATCAATGCTCAACCAAATCGCAATTTGAGGACTGAGAAGAGCAACAGGCTATGGAATTGACTCCTGAGAGTCAGGGGCCTGGGCGCCGGCTTCCCACAGGAGCAGGGACCAGCCCGGCCACACGGAGGAAGTGTTAGCAGCCACTCGTCGGCAACGATGTGGACCGGTATCCAAAACACACAAACAAACCTTAAAACTCAACAACTGGAAAACAAACCAATTAAAAAGTGGGCAAAAATGTTGATTCCCGGAGCACAGTAAAATTAAACTATGAATCAATAATAGAAAGGTAACTGAAAAATCCCCAACTATGCAGAGATTAAATAACACACTTCTTCTCAATAACACATGAATCAAACAAATCCTAAGAGAAATTGTAAAATATTTTCGACTAAATAAAAGTGAAGTCAAATTTTTGTTAATGAAGTAAAGCAAAACTTAGAGGGAAATGTACAGATTTAAAAAAATATTTTACTTATTTATTTTTAGAGAGAGGAAGAGAGGGAGAGAAACATCAATCGGCTGCTTCTCGAGCGCCCCCAACCGGGGACACGGCCTGCAACTAGGCACATGCTGGACCCAGGGCATGGAACCGCCAGCCTCGGGTTTGCAGGCGGGCCACTGAGCCACAGCAGCCGGGGGAACACACAGCTGTGAATGCACGCTGGAAGAAAAGAAAGATCGAAAATCAATCATCTAAGCCTCCACCTTAGGAAACCAGGAGAAGAAAAGCAAATTAAATCCCAAGTAACCTAAAAAAAAAAGAATTAGAGCATAAATCACTAAAATGTAAGACGGGAATCAACAGAAAATGCTGGACGACCAAAAGCTGGTTCTCTGAGAAGGTCAAACTGAGGAGCCTCCAGTCAGACCAACCAGGGAAGGGAAAGAACACTCGAAACACCTACGTCGGCGGAGAACCAGCAGCAGCCACAAAGCCCCCTAAACCCACCGGGGGCCTCGGCTTCAGGGCCCGGCAAAGAACAGGCGGAATCTGAAGCTCGGAGCAAGACCACTTGTATCAGCCCCCAGAAGTGGAACGGGTGGGAACAAATCCAACAAAACGTGGACGAGTTCTCCGTGAGCAAAACGGCGACACTCCAATGATGAAGCAGAGACCTGAACAGACGCGGGGACAGTCTGCGCCCACGGGCAGCGGGACCCCCGTGGTCAGGTGTCAGTTCTCCCCGGCGTGACCCACGGACGCAGCACGGTCCCGGCGCAGCCCCGACCAGGCACCGATGAACTGGCCCTGAAGTGCTTGGGGAGGCAAGAGACTCAGGAGAGCGGCGAGTCCACACTGAAGGAGGACAGGCTGGAGCAGCAGCGATCGCTGCCGGATGCCGAGACCGACTGCAAAGTCACAGTCATCGGATGATGCAGAGTCAGCGGAAGGACCCACGGACAGAGTGACGAACGAGACAGCGGCCCGGACACAGACCCACGGCTGCGGCCAACGGACCAGTGACACAAGGAGCAAAGGCCACACGGGGGATGAGGACGGTCTCTTCAACAAACGGCACTGGAGCAAGTGGACACCGCGTGCACCACCACGAACCTTGACACGACTCTACACTCCTCACAGACGTGCGGCCAAGACGGCCCCCACGCCTCGGCGTGAAATGGAACCGGAGGAGGTGGCGTGGGCGCTGACACGGGCGGCCCCGGAGCGCAGCCCCCTCTAGGCGGAGCGCCACAGGGGCAGCGGGGGTGGGGGGGGAGTGACAAGCTACCCGGCGGTGTTCGGTTAGCAATGTTCATCTTGTATTAGACCCAGGGGGGCTAATCACCTGCAAAAGGCAAAACTAGGACTAGTAGAATGAGAAGACAAGCCACAGGCTGGGAGGGAATATTTGCAAAAGGCATATTTGATAAGACCGTCACGCAACATGCACAAAGAATCTTAAAAATACAAATGAAAACAAACAACCTGATTAAAAAATGGGCCAGAAACCTGCAGATACCCACCAACGACGGTACACGGGCAGCAGCACGCACGCCCAGCTCTGGGCTCCACGGCGCACCTGCCCGAAGGGCCGGGATGCGCCTGCTCACACCCCACCTGCCACGGCGCCCGCGGTGCTGATGGGAATGCAGAACGTGCAGCCGGTCGGGCGGCTTCTTACAAAATCACACCCAGAGATCGCTCGCCTTGGTACCCACCCAAGGGAGTGGAAAACTATGTCCACACAAAATCTGCACACGCGTTACAGCAGCCTTAGTCACAACTGCCGAAATTCGGAAGCAACCAAATTGCTCTCCAGCAGGTACATGGAAAAACAGCGTGGCCCCTCCAGAGAGTGGGGTGTTATTGGGCTCGGCAGAGAAATGAGCCAGCGGACGCAGAGGGACTGGCAGGCACGTGACTCAACGAGCGGAGCCCCACTGACAAGGCCACACACTGTGTGCATCCAGGCCTATGACACTCTGGGAAAAAAGAAAACCATGGAGGCAAAAAGACCAGCGGTTGCTAAGGGCTGGGTGGTTGCCTGGGAGGAAAAGCAGGTGGGGCGCTGGGCTGGTCCTCAAGCTAATCCAGAGTCAGGGTCAGGGTCAGGGTCAGGAGTGGGGGCTGGCTCCTGGGAGTCTGGGGAGACAGTCACTAGCACCCACAGAGGCGAAACAGCCAGGAAGGAGGAGGGCGAGGCAAAGTGGCCACAGCCGGCCAGCTTCCCTTGTTACCCCTGGGGTAGCACGTGGGTCCACAGGCCCAGGTAGCTGCACCTGAGCCAGGGGAGCAGGCGCAGGCCCGTGTCTGTGCGTGGGCTGCTCCGGCATCCGTGTCCGCTCTGCCCGTGCCCCTCGGAACGTGTTCTGTTGCGTCAGGGCCCACACAGCAGCCGTGCACAGTGCGAGAGGCCTGGGTTGGCAGGCCTCCCCCACGTGCTGGGGGCCCACACGCAGCCAGTGTCGGCTGCTCCGTGATGACCTCGTGCCCACGAGTGACCAAGGGGAGGAAGGCGAAGGCTCGGGTGGGACCGCAGGGCACTGGGCGGGACGGAAGGCCACCCCCAGGACCTCCTCCTCTGCACCCACGGGTGTCGCCCAGTCAAGTCAGTGGACGTGGTCCTCAGCAGCTCTCGTGCAGTCGTGACCACGCCGTGACCTGTCCTCCTGATGAGACTGTAACCCCACGGGGCAGCCCTAGGCCCCCTCCCTCCTACTGTGTCCCCAGCACCTGGCTGGGGACTTGCAGATGGTTTTGGAAGGCAGGAAAGCAGACAGGGAAGCCCTGGGCACAGGGAAGAAAGCGAAGGGGCATCGAGGCACCGGTGCGGACAGCACCTGACGCTCCCTCCGGCGGGGTGAGGACGATGCCCAGAGGCAGGCAGGACAGGAGAAGCGATGCTTGGGTTCGGGGAGATACTCACTGGGAGTGACGGCAGTCTCGCCCGTGGGGCCGGCCAGAGTTCCTGGGGGGTGTGGGGGGTCCCCTGGGTCTGGGGGCCGACCGCCCATCCGAGTGACGTTCTGCTGGTTGTCTGCGTCCTCCGGCTGCTCCTCCACCCTCTGCACACAGGTGCTGGGCAGCGCCCGCACAGGGGCCGCGCCCTCGACCCCAGGGCCCTCCAGGTCGCACTGCGGCTCCCTGCAACCAACAGTGAGCGTCGGGGCTGAGGCAGCCCTGCCCCACCCTCCCACCGGGTCCACCAAACCCAGCTCCCGAAACCCCTATCCAGATGCAGTAAGCTCCCCACCACCTCCTTGCTACACCAGACTTCCACAGGGCTCTTCACCCCTCTGCACATTTGCGTGGTTTTAGGTCTAAAAAACCCTAAACCCATGTGGGGATGGGGTCAACTCGGCTGTCCCGCCCTGACACGAGGCCAGGCGCGCTGGCATCACGAGGCAGTGTGTGTGAAACAGAGCTGTCTGCAGGAGAAACTCGGAAGAGACTCTGTCCCAGGTCAGCCTGCCGGTGGCCAGGACAGAGCTCTGCACACGTCGGTGCGGCGGCCGCACTGACCCTGCGCAGGGGCTCTGGCTGGCGGCTGGCTCCGGATGCTGTGTGGCCAGCAGGCGAGCGTGGGGGCCGCTGACCTGAGCTCGGGAATCCGCAACCCCGGCCTGGCCCCGCCCCCGCCCCAGCGCAGGCCCGCCCACTCCGGCGCCGGGTCTTTCCCAAGCCTGCCCCACAACCTCCCAGGGAGCCCCGCTTTCTCCTGGAGCCCTAACGTGAGGGAGCGGTTCGGGCGCTCCCAGTCCCGTCACTCGGCAGGTGGGCTCCACCCGGAGGGGCGGAGACAGCGCGGTGGGAGGGTGGCGAGCGCTCACTCACTGGGGCTGCGGGGTCCGAAGCTCCCTCTCCTGGTCCCGGTCGTCGGTCTCGCCCTCCTTCTCCGGGGCCTCCTTCTCCCCATCCTCCTGCACGGGCGGTGCCCTATGCCGAGCCCGGTGCCGCCGCGCCGGCTCCTCCCCGCTCTCTGCCTCCCGGGGCCCTGCGCGGGGGCCACCGCGGTGCCGTGCTCGCCGCTCCCTGCCCGTGTCGGGCGCGTGCCGGTGTGCGCGGTGGCGCCGGGGCTCTCGCTCGGCCGCCTCCTCGGGGGAGCCACGCCGGTGGTGGCGCCGGCCGCCCTCAGGTCCCGCTCCGCGGCCGCGCTCACTCCGGACCTCCCGGGTTCCCGCGGCCTCCTTGCTGCGGCTCCGGTGCGCTCGTGCCCGCTCCTCCCGGGCCGTGGGCTCCCCGCCCTCCGTCTTTGGGGCATCAGCCCGGTCCTGCTCCGTCGCCGTGGCAGGGGCGGCCTTGTCCTTGTCGCGGTGCCGGTGGTGCCTGCGTGGCGGGTCCGCACCATCCATGGCCTCGGTGCCCTCGGGCCGGGCCTTGCCCCCAGCCGATCCCCGCGAGCCAGGCTCCACCACGAGGGGCCGGTCCAGGTGCGTCTTCATGTCAGGCCGCAGGTGGCGAGAGGTGGCAAAGCGCAGCCGCTCCTCGGGGTCCAGCTCGCTGTACAGCGCCTCGCAACTGGCCCGCAGGTTCTGCAGCCGCAGCTGGCTGGCCCGCTGCTCCCACACTGAGCGCGCCTTGGCCGAGTTCTGCTGCCGGCTGGGGGGAGATGAGATGTGAGCACCCCCTGCACACCCCCAGGTCTCTGCCTCGCAGGGGAAGCCACAAATGACATTCAGCGATGGAGGGGAGGTGGCGGAGTGGACACAGGGAGCAGATGGGCAGAGCGGCACGGGAGCCCTCAAGACCCAGGCAATGGATGCAACAGGGCAGGTGGGCACCCAGGGTAACACATGGCCCAGTGGGGCCCACACGCTGCAGGTGCACCGGTGCGGGGCAGGATGCAAGGCCGCTCCTGGGCCCGGATGCTGGACTGAGGCCAAGAAGAACAGGGCAGTGGAGATGATGGGCACCAGCCCAAGGTGGCAGCCAGGCCCACCTGGCGGGACAGGTGGGCCGCTGACCAAGAAAGCCAGAATACGGGGTGGAGGGGCGTGCAGATGGGTAGGCCCGAGGGTCTGGCCTGAGGCCAGAGGCCAGGGGCCCTGCGACAGGACAGCAGAGCTGCCCAAGGCCGGAACTCTCCCCTGAACGCCCCAGAGGCAGCCACTGTCCAGAGGGACTGGGGACAGCAGACAGCACAACCCAGAGAGTGGGCACCTGGGTGCAGCCGCCCCCTTGGGAGCAGCCAGGGGGCCAGGACTAACCCTGGGTGGGGGCAGCCCCATCAGGGCAACTGCCGCCCAGCCCAGTGCCCGTCTGCCCGCGGGAGACAGACGCCCGAGGCGCCGACGCCCTGCTCTCGCCTGCTCCGTGGAGAACACCCTGCCCCCGCCCACAGGGAGAGCCAGAGCCGCCCGTGGAGTGGCCTGGGGTCCCGGCTCAGCCCTCACTGGACAGGCCGCCCCGGCCTCGACCCTGCCCACCCCTTCTCAGTGGGCTCTATACCCGGGGACACAGACCTGTGCTCTCTGGTTCTTTGCTGAGAAAACCCCAAAGTGGGAGACTCCAGGCCCCTTGGCCAAGCAGACCTCTGAGGTGGGATGGTCACCCTCCATCCCCAGAGGTCACCAGACCACAGTGGGGGAGGCACTGGCAGCCAGAGAACAAGGATGACGGTGATATCTGTGTCGTCTAGTGGCCCACACTGTGGCCTGGGCACTGGTGCCCACCTGCTCCGACCCCCACCACTACCTGGGGGTCGGGTGCTGCTCCCACTTCACAGGTGAGGGCACAGCCCAGAGAGCTCGACCCACAAGGGTCCCACTGCGAGTCGCTAACAGAGCTGGGACCAGACACTAGGGTCTAACCGCAACGGGCGGCCTTGGCCACAAACACACCTGGGCCACAGCCTGAGGGGTTCCCATGCAGCCCGGCCACCAGCTCGGGGTGGGGGGGCCCTGGCCCCATGGGTAGCTGCAGGGAGGTGCCCGCTAGTTTGGACCACGTGGAGGACAATGAGCCCTGCCCCTTGGAAGGCGAGCCCGGGCCCCTACGTGGGAAACACTCCGGGCAGAGTACACGGCACCTGTCCCTCACCTGGGGGCCCAACCGGGAGGCAGGGTGACATTCGGGGGACCTGTGTGCACCTCTCTGGTCGCCTGCTGACTCATACCCTTGCCTGCTGTCGCAGGCCCTGCTCCTGGGTCCCCCTGCAGGAAGCCCACCTCTTCTTTCTTTGGCTTCTACCTGGAGCCACAAGGGACCCACCCGCCCACCGTGGACACCAGACACAATGCAGAGCTGGTTTCAGGTGCCTTCCGAGTGCCGCCGACCCGTGCAAGTGATGGCAGCAGGCGGGGCGCACCCCGAGCAAAGGAGCCGCGAGGGTGTCACTGCCTCAGTGCCCTCTGTCACCCCAGACGGGCCCAGAGCCTGGGCCACTTGGTCGGCGCAGGAAGACTGGAGCCGCAGCCCTGAGGCCCAGCTCTGCCAGGACTGACGGGCCATAAAGAAAAGGGGATGCGGCTGCCGACAGGCGGTGCCCTCCGCCGGTGCGGCCGGTGCCCACGCTGGAACCAGCTCGAGGTCACAGAGCAGGGGACTGACTGGGCTGGACGGGAGGGCGCCATGGGGTTGGTGGGCCCCCGTCAGGAATTCTCCAGGGAGCAGGGTGCACTGCCTTCCGCCGGCCCCAGCCTGCGGCCTCTGGTCTCCGCGCCTCCCCGGGCCCCTGCCACCCACACCGTCCGCAGGCCCGTTCCCAGCGGAGCCGCCGCCTCCTCTCTGGACACACCCCGTCTGTACCTGGCCTCGTTCCCCGCCCCCCGGCGTCTGAATCGGCCGCCTGCCCCGGCACTGGCCTCTCTGCTCCGAGTGCGCACACAGCGTAGGGACGTGACCGCAAGGACCACCGCCCTCTGCCCTGCAGGCCAGTGTGGCCGCGGACTCCAGTCCAAGCAGAGTCCTCCCTGGAAAGGGCTCAGTGGGTTGGGCTTCATCCTGCAGAGCTAAGGGTTGCTGGTTGGATTCCTGGTCAGGACACAGGCCAGGGCGTGGGTCTGCTCCTTGGTAGGGGCACCAGGGAGAGGCCACCGATCAACGTTTCTATCCTCTTCCTCCTGCCCCCGCCCTGTCTCTGCAAAGCCTCCACAGAGAAAAGGTGCTGCAAGGGGCACGCAGAGGAGCCGCTCCCTCCAAGTCCTGCGCCCGCTGGCAGGCACAGCCGACCGGAGCGCCATGCCTGCCTCTGGGCCGTGACCCCACTTTGAGGTTTCTGGGCCGAAAGTCCACTCACCTGTGGCGGCTGAACACACACAGCAGCCCAGGTATGACGCCCTCCGTCCCCACCTCACTCCACCCGCCAGTCGCTCGCCCCAGATCCAGCTTCCTTCCCCGTGAGACATCAGGGCCCCAGCAGCCAGCAGCTCTGGGTGCCTGTGGGGGACCAAGCTCAGCTCGGCGCTGGCCGTGGGGACAGCAGGGGCCACCACCACCACCTCCACCACCAGGGCACCACCTCCATGCGGGTGGCCCAACCATACCCGGCTCCCGCCGGGACTTCCCTCCGCATGGCCTGACCTCACCCTGAGGAGGAGGCCTGGGGCCCAGCCTCCCGGGCCCACTCCGCCCCCCACGCCCGCCTGTGTTGCCCCGGGAGGGTTATCTGGGGTTCCCGGGGCTGTGCCTTGGGCCCTGCTGGTCTTGTGTAAGCCTCACGACCAGAAGCAGCTCCACTCTTGCTGGGACAAGGACTTCATGAGGGTCACAGACACGTCCTACCCCGAGGAAGGAAGGGACAAGGCAGGAGGAGCCCAGGGACGTCCCAGGGGCACCGAAGAACACACCGCATCACAGAGGCCAGGAGGGGACCCGAGACCCCAGAGTGACGGCGCACGGACAGACAGCAGATGAGAGGACAGAGACCAGGAGGGAGAGGAGGGGGCCACACTCGGAGTCTGATGCCTGCCAGCAGGACTCGGGGACGTCGGGAAGCGAGCCCGCCGTCCCTGCCAGGCCGCGGGAGGCTGGCCTGGAGCTGCCCTGAAGCGAATGACCGGAGGCAGAAGCAGAGTGAGGAGGGGGAGGTGTTTGCGTGTAGCTGCCATGAAGCCAGGGTGGGGACCGTAGCGACTCACGGTGAGTTCACGCTGGAGACAGAGGAGCTGCGAGATACAGTAGCTCGAGTTTGCTTTACAAAACTGCACATGCAAAAAACAAAACAGAACGGAAGTGAGGAAACCAGAGAGGGCTCTCAGACACACGAGCACACGCATGAGCCGTGTCAGGTCTGCGTGCAGGCTGCGGTGTGCATCTGGGCAGAAGGCCAGGGACAGTCCGTCCAAACGGTCACTGGCCGCAACCTCGGGGTAAAACAGAAGTTGAGAAAGAGCATCTGGCACAAAAGTGAGACGGAGGCGAACAGGGCAAACCCCCGGCGGCCAGAAGACAAGGGCACTGCCCAGGGGCCGCCTGCCGCAGCCGGGCACCCCCGCCCTGGGAGGACAGCGCTAGACCCCACGGGCCGGGCTCTGCACGGCCGCCCTCCAGACCTGGGGCCCAGGGCAGCTCCGGGCTCAGCAGGAGCAGAGTGGCCCCTGACTCTGCCCTCGGCCCCAGCCCCAGGCCACCATTACCTTTCCCAGGGCAAACAGGCGTCACCATCCCCAACCCGCCTTCCCTTGGGTGTGACCGCATCCATTTCCAGGTGACTTTCTGGAAACTTCCAAAACCAGCAGGGAGAAAGCGAGTACCCTACACCATCGCCCCCACCAGCGCCTCCTCCTCAAGGCCGAGCGCACTGGCGTTTGTGAGGCGCTCGGGCAACTCGCCTGCCTGGAGGCCTTGGGGATAAGCAGGGGTGTGTGTGCGAGGGAGTGTGTAAATCAGTGTGCGACTATGTGTCAAGTTTGTGAATGAGTATGTTAGTGGCAGTGAGTGTCTGAGGGTGTGGAGTCAGTGTGCATGTGTGTGAACACGTGAGCTTGAATGCGTGTGTGCAGGCGAGACTGAACGTGTGTGAGTGTAGTGTGTGTACGAGAGTGAGGGTGTGTGCAAATGAGAGTGACTGTGAGTAAGCAGGACAGGCGTGCAAGTTCCTGTGAACATGCGTGGGTGTGTGAACGTGCAGGGTAAATGTGATCTTGTGTGAGTGAGTGTGTCAGGGTAGATGTGAACGTGGGTGAGTGTGACCACGTGTGAGTGTGCGGGTGTGTGCGGCAGGGCCCCCGAGTCATGCCGATGAGGCTCAGTGCAGTGACAGGCAGGACGGCACCCACCTTGGTGTCCCCTCCTCCTAGGAGCCTGGAGTGGCCACCCCCCGAGGCCAGACACCCCCCCGCCCCCCGCGACCCCTGAGGGGCAGGTCCCTCTGAGGCGGGACCCCAGTTCGGCCCCTGCCACTGGAGCAGCGCCTGCGCCCACCTGCACAGAGCACCGGCGGGAGCCACCCGAACACCCAGGACACTGACGGTCCCTCCCCATCCAGATGTCACAGACAGCGTCCCACCCTCCCACTCCACAGGCTACACAGCTCAGCAGGAAGCCACGTCAAGGCGAAGGTCCCTCAGGTGGCTCCTCTCACCCACGCAGGTGCTGCTGGAGGGACCCTGGACAAGCAGGCCCTGCCTGCCCAGTAACAAGACTGACCTGGAGGACAGGAAACGAGGGGGCGGGACAGAAGACACTGGGTGCACTGAGCACAGCACCACAGGACCCGGACACCCTCTGCCCGCACGCGCCAGGACAGGCCTCGCCCTGCGCAGCACCTCTGGTGACCACATCAGACCCACTGAGCGTCCGAAAGAGGGCCAAGGCCAGGACTGGCACCCGGAGAGCCTGCCGGGCCGTACAGGGGACGAGGCCAACACCGGGCTGACCAGGCTGAGCTCAGGGGCCCTGGGAGGTGGGCGGAGCTCCAGGGCAGAGGTCAGACCCTCAGCTGGCGTCCTGGGTGCCCAGGTGGCAGGGGCCACAGGACCACGGCGCCACTGTGCTGCCGGTGCACACTCACCCACTCCCTCGTGTGTGTGGACACAGGACACACAGTCTTAAACCTGCCACAGACGACCTGGTGAGCCCACGGACACTGCAGCCAGAGGTCCCCATAGCCATGCCGGTGCCAGGGCCACGGCGCTCACAGGAAGAGGCAGCCACGGCGGCACTGGGGCCCGGGGCTCGGCCGGGAGTGGGGGCGTGCGGGTGGCTCAGAGCTGAGCTCGGCTGGGCCAGCGGAGGCCCCGGCAGTGCGTCTGTGCGTCTAGCGGCCGCCCCAGGCCCAGCCGCCAGGCTCTCCCACCTCCGTCTGCACCGTCCTGCCACCGCTGACCTTGCCCAGACCACGGCAGCCCTCGTCCCTGGGCTGCACGCTCTGTCCCACCGCCGAGGTCCCTTAGTGCCCCCCATCATGCTTCTGCAATGTGCCTGGGGGTTCGGCGGGATCTGTGGGTGGACGACGAGTCTCCCCCAGAGGCCGTGGCCCCGCCTTCACCTTTACTCGCCACGGAGGCTTCTGCCTGCCCGCAGGCCCAATTCCCAGAACTCAGGACGTTAAGTCTTTTGCACTAAGTCTTGGGGCTGTTGACATGCCACCAGGAATCGTTTGGTTCACAGAATGCGTGCTCTGAAAAGTTGTATGGAACCCGACTCCTTTCCCTACCGCACCGCCTCTGCCCGGGGGGGGGGGGACACACCGAGCCTCCCACGACCGTCAACGACCGTTCAGGAGCACACGGCTCCAGCAGAGCCTCCACCACTGCTCACAATGGGGGAGGCCGCAGGCGCTGCCTCACCAACCCCTTGCTCCCGGGCTCCTGCGGGAGAGGGTGGGGAGGGACTGTCCCAACGAGCTCCAGCCAAAGCCAGGGGCCCCACCCCCCCGCTCTGGAGAGCCTTACGCGGCAGCAGAGACGTTTGTGGCCGACATGGGACTGACTTCAGCCACTTCCTTGGCCTTCTGCAGGGCAAGCTTCTGGTTGGCGGCTTCTTCCATCTCCTCCTCGTCCTGCGTGCGAGCAGAGCAGACAGAGCCGCGGGGCAGCCCTTCAGGGCGACGCACCCACCTCCCAGCCGAGTCCCTCCTGTCCTCGGGGCCTGGGGCCAGGCTGGGGGCTCCAGTGTGAGCATGGCCTGAACAGGTGTGTGCATCTGTGGCACAGCACCCGAGCCTCATCAGGTGAGAATGCAAACCCAGTCCTCCCCAAGCCCCCCGCCCTGCCCCCAGGAGCACCTGCCTGAACCAAACCAGCCTCCGCCCCACAGCTGCAAGGGCCGGTCAGGAGCCGCCGGGAGGACATCCAGCAGGGGCACCCCCCGGCCTCTGAGCTTTTCTGCTCAAACTCCTGTCCCCAGCTGTGACTCTGAGGGGTCCCTCTTTGCTACCCCCACACGTGTGTGGCCATTGCATCTCCTGGCCCTGAGTTCCTTCCACACGAGTCCCGGAGAGGACCCGATAACTGTGCCACAGGGGGGCTGGTGGTGCTCACGTGTACACACACGACAGACACGCTGCCCCCCTCTGGCCCTGACCCCACGCCACTGCGCCAAGCCCGTGTACTGCGCTCCTGGGGCCCGGACAAACCGCTCCAGGCCGAGGTCACAGGCCCCGGAGCTCTACTGGCCCGCGGGCTGCTTACCTCCCCAACCCCAGGCCTGCGGGGCTCCCAGGAGCTGGCGGTCTCCGCGTGACCCAAAACACGCTGCCATCTGCTCTTACGCTCACAACAATGGCAAAACTGAGTCCCCGGGGGCTGGCTGTCCCCAGCTCTGGGCCCCATTGCAGTTTACGGCCCTTAGGGGCAGGGATATCACCACAGTGTTCTACCGACAAACTTAATCCTGAAAACCACACGGCCGTGTCTGCGGGGTCACGAAGGAAGGACAGTGGAGTCCCGCCAGCCCAACACGCAGGCTGCCCGGCCCGACGTCCACAGACGGGCCCAACGCAGCCATGTCGTCTGCCCGTGGCGTGCAGCGCGACCTCACACGGTGCTGCCAGGAGAACTGGGGCTCACGCCTGCTCTGGGACAGCCGGTGCCAGGCCACTGAAGGCTCCGCGCAGCTGACACCAAGAAGTGCTCCGTGGGTGCACGGGTCCCCAGCCCCAGCGGCCCAGCCAGGTCTCGGCCGTTCTGGACCTGCCCATGGAAGGTGAGGCCCAGGGACTTTGGCCCCTCCTGACACCAGGCCAGGGCAGCTCCGGGCCTCCCCACCCCAGAGGCCACAGAGCAAAGGAGGGGCCCAGACCCATAGGCACCGCCAGGGCCAGGGCCCGGGCCGGGAAGCGGGAGGCTGAGCAGAGGCCGAGGGAGGTGGGCTGCCCAACCCTGAGGGCCCTGGCCGGGCGGCAGGGTCGCCTGCCAGCACCGGGAGTGCGCCGAGGTGCACCTGCCCCCCGCTGCCTGCACAGCCGCCCGGAGCCCGCCTTCCTCAGGGACGCCAGTCCACGGGGCCCGGCACAGGGACAGTGAGCAGAGCGCTGGCACGTGCCGGCCTGGAGTGGGCTGGACTGTGTCGGACGTGCTCAGGGACACACACAGTCGGGAGCCACACACTAGACGCTGACAGGGGCACCGTGTCTGCAACAGAGGCGGCCCCGTCTCCCACGGGCCCAGCCTGACAGCAGCGCCCTCCACACAGGACTCTGGGGCTTGGTAAGCAGGAGGCTGAGATAGCAGGCGGCCCAGCAGCACCGTCAGGGCCGTGCGGGTAAAGGTGACCGAGCAGGCAGGGGACCGTGTCCTCTGGAGGGAAACCACAGGGAGGCATGTGGAACTGCACCCCCTGGGCTCAGGGGCACGGAGAGCAGAGGCGGCCCGCTGGGGCGTCTCACATCAGCGGGGCGGGCGTCTGGCTGCCGCAGCGCCTGCTGAGAAGGCAGCACCAGCTGCTCCCGCTGGCCCGGCGCCTGAGAACAGCACCTGACCCCCCACACCTGCGACCGACCCTGGGTCCCCTCACCGCCCAGGGACAAGCACGGAGGTCCCACAGATGGCCACCTGGACCCTGGACCTCACGTGGCTTCTGTCCCGAGGCCGGTGCAGCTGCCCCCACTCCTCAGGGCCTGTGTGGGCGGCTCCTCCTCCAGCCACGCGGCCCCTGCCCTTCTGGTTGGTTCCGGGGCAGTGGCTTCTCCGAAAGCCGCCCCAGGGGTCCCTCTTCCCAGCACGGGGGCAGCTCTCCCACGCGGAGCGACAGCCTGACCTCGCCCGGCCACGCCCTCGCCCGGCGGCCCCACGGCCCCACGGCCCCGAATCCAGGCCCTCCTTGCGGCTCTCGGGCCTCACGCGGAGGGACAGGGCCACCCCCACGCCTGCACCGGGTCTGCGGGCGTGTCCCTACCTTGGTCAGCTCCTGAGCGTTGGCCAGGTTGTCCACAGCAATGGCCAGGAAGACATTCAGCAGGGTGTCTGGGTGGCTCCGATAAGGAAAGGGACCCTTCTGCCCCGGCCCATTCCCGCACGGCCAAACCATGGCTTCCCCGTGCACAGCAGGGCCCCCAGCCCCCGATCCCCACCGCCCTGCAGCCTCCTGCCCTTGGCGTCCACCGCCCCCAACGCCCCTGCCCTCCTGGCCCCCTACCCCAGCACAGCCCTTCAGGGCGACTTCCAGGCCCCCACTCAGGAGCAGTGGGGGCCCCACTTGCCCCCCAGGAGGCCCCTGGGCTGCCTCCTCCCGCCCCGGCCCTGTTTCTGGCCACCAAGAGAAGCTTCCTGACAAACACGGTGCCTCGGTGGCTGCACGGGGCTCCCCCACCCATGAACGCTGTGGGCGGAGGCCGTGTCGGACTGACGGACACACCGTGCAAACCCGTCCCTGGCCGGGCCCACAGACACGGGACACGGCGCCCAGCTCCAGGCCCCACCTGGAACCTCGTGCACCGAGAGCCCCGGGGCCCGTGACCACACACCACCACGCTGTCCTCACGGGGAGGAAGGGGGGGCCGAGGCCACACAGAGGAGGGAGCTTGCCCAGGGCCCCAGGCGCCGTCGCCCCGGACCAGGCCCCGCTGTGCCGCTGTCCCCGCAGCACCCCTGCCACAGCTCACTTCTGGGCTCGCCTGGCCCTGGGGCGGCCCCCCAGCCCTCTGTGCTGTGCCCCACACGGTGCCCACAGGGCCAGGCCCTCTGGGGTCACCTCGATCCCGGGTACGGCTGACACTGGGCAATCCTGTCACCGGCCCGAGCAGCATCTCCAGCCTCCACCCACGCTCCTCCCCCGCAGTCCTGGCCACCACACGTGGCCCTGGGCCTGGGGGCCGTGGGGCAGCAGGTAGCTCTGTGAGTGGCCAACAGCAGCAACGCTTGCTGCTCAGGTCCCCGCCGGCCTCTCAGGCCGTCACCTCTCAGGCAAGGACGTCCGGAGCTCCGGACAGGACACTAAGGCCGCGCTGCCCCCTCCCTGAACCGCCTGTAGCCGTGGGCACCCTCGGGGTCCTCCCCACAGCCAAGGCTGTGCCCTGCAGGACCAGAAGAACACAGAGGGACAGACCCGACTCCGGGTGGACAGGTCCGCAAGGTCAGGGTCAGAGTGTGTGGCCAAAGCCGGCCACTGCTCAGCCCGCAGCCCAGCCCCTCAGAAGGATACAGTTTCCAAACAGCGTGAGGACAATGAAGTAGAAGGACGAGAACATGCCTTTGCTGACCCCGCCTTGCGACTCGATGCCGTGATACATCACCGCGTTCCAGTCCTCCCCCGTCAGGATCTGTGGGGTGACACTGCTGGGCAGGCCCGCGCACGCACTGCACACACAGCTCTGTCCACACACGTGCACACACGCCATCAGCACATGCACACGCTTCCTCCCAAGGGCCCCTGCATGTAGGCACACCACTGCCCCCACGTGCACACGCACCGACACGCAGACATGTGCACACACAGGATTTGGGGTGACGGTGCCTCCGGAGGGCAAGGTGGCCACGGTCCCTCCACAAAAACCTGCAGTGGCAGGGTGGGGTCAGGCCTGTGGGTGGGGCCGCTGCGTGGTGGGGCAGGCACTGCGGGCACCTTCCGGCCCCTCAGCCGCAGCGCCCTGCGGCCTCGGGGGTGGCTGGCGCAGTCCCCGCCCCCCCGGGACGCAGGCCCCTTCCACTCGCGTCTCTGCGAAGTGTGGGGGTGAAACGGCGCAGGCCTGTGTCCTGTGCCGAGCGGACGCCTGTGCACCTGCCGTGTCTGCATCAGGTCCCTGCCTGTGTGTCTGGCAAGGACCCACGTCTGGAGTGCAGCTCCGCCCCACAGCAAACACAACAGGCCAGCACGCCGCTTCTGTCCAGCGCCCCGTGTCCACCACGTTGGGACATGCCCACCACACACAGGTGCGAGCCGCTGCCCTGCGCTGCTGCTCATGCACCCACTTCCCTTGCGGCACCACGGGCACACCTGCCGGGCCATGGGTGCCTCCGAGGCCCCCGGGCCCTGCTCTGCACCCTCACACGCCCCAGCTCCGTCACGCCACCTTCTGTGTCCCAGGCCACTCCGTCCCTCCCGGGGCCGGCCCACAGCCCGTGTTTCTGACTCCTGAGAGCTTCTTGTGTGTTCTGGTGTCTGCTGATCCTGGGTCAGGAATATTTTTCAGAAATATCTTCTGGTTTTTTTCTTTACTATTAACTTTTTATATTAGAAAAAAGTTTAATATAGTTAAATGTATCCATCTTTTACGGTTTCTGCTTTCCACACCTTGAGAAATTCTTCTCCGTCCCGAGTTCATGAAGATGTTTTTGTTTTCTTCAAGTCATTTTACGTTGGTTTCTCACACGGAGGGTTCTAACGTGACGGGACTGTGGGCCCTGCCCTGTGCACCCACGTTCCAGCATCCCCGCCCCCCACCCCGGGGTGAGCCCTCAATGTCGGACACCGACTTCCCACACAGGCGGCGCTTTGTCCCGGGCTCCGTGCTGTGTTCCTTGGACATTTCTCTCTGTCCTCCCAGTCCTCACCATGGTGGCTTCTTATAAAGTCCTGCTGGTTGGGGGGGACCCCTCCTGAGCTCCAGGCTGCCCTGGACACTGGCTCTCTGCAGGATGGAGGCGGGGCCGCCGTCCTGGGGGACTTGGACAGGAGTATGGTGAAGCCGCCAATTCGAGTGGGGACAGCTGCCTCGTCACCGTGTGAGCCCCCCCCTTCTGCGAAAACACCCCCCCTGGGCCAGTGCCTCCAGGCCCCTGCCCGGCAGCCATGAGCCGCCTGCAGAAGCCCCGCCCCCTCTTCGTAGGGTGACTTCCTGGCACTTACATTGTCACCGCTGTGCAGGGACTCTTGCGTTTGAGCTGGGTTTCCTGAGTGAGTGGTGTGTTACACACGAAAGCCGTGTTTTTGTCCACTGACAGTGTGTTCAGCCACATGGGTGAACTCTTATTTCTAACTGATCTTTTCCTCTTTCCTCTGTAAGCGACCCCATCGTCTGCAAACAGCGCCCCTGCCTGCTCCCTCCCGAACTCCCTGCCTTCCTTCTCTTCCCAGTGCCTGCCACAGCCTGGAGCCGAGGCAGCCTCATGTCACTTGAATCACAACCTTTCAGTCCGTCGTCATCTGAGTTCTCCGGAGAGACAGAACCAGGAGACGCACACGAGGAGCCGGCTGGGGGGCCCCGAGGTGCGCAGGCAGCAAGGAGGGGGGACAGTGAGGGGCCGGGCTTGGAGACAGGAAGCCAGGGGCCCTGTCAGAAGGGACTAAAGAGGCTCGGGCGGGTGCCGCCCCAGGGCGGGCTGTCTGTCCACTCTCCTCCAACTCCTGACTCGTGGGTTAGTCCCACCCACACACAGACCCACGGGAACACGCTGGCGCCACCGACACACGCAGACATCACGCAACCTTCCCTGCGATGCGGCCGTGGTCTTTTTCCAACCGCTGCCTCTTGGGGCTCTAGGTCACACGCACACAACCCAGTCATTTCAAGTGTCAAATGCAACGGTTTTGTTGGTGTGTCCACAGATGTGTGCAACATAGCACAGTCTACTTCGGAACATTTTCACTCCCTCAGAAAAAGGAGCCCATGCCAAGGAGCTGAGCCCGGCCTGGAGCACACGGAATGCGGGTCATCCCTGAGACCCCCGTCCCTCAGGCAGAAACCACCCCCGCTCCGCCTCAGGCTGGCACCCCGGGCATCTCAAGGGACAGAATGGTCGCCCGAGAGGACAGAATGTCTGGGCAGCAGCCCGGCCAGAGGCTCATGGAGACACAGGGGCATTTGCAGGCGTGAGAGGATGGAGGGTGTTGGGGTGCTTTGCTGCTTTATCCTCAAAGGAGGAAGAACCCTTCCAATCCCGGGGCCTTGGGGCTCAGACAGAAGCTGTGGCTGGAAGCCAGGGGCTGCCGGACAGCGGAGCCCCGGGGACAGCGGAGCCCGGGGGACAGAAGGAGCTGTGAGCTTGTCTCCACTCGCTCTCTCGTGTGACGAACGCGGGCCGTCGAGGCGGCGCGGAGACACTCAGGAGGAGCGGGAGGGGCCTCACCTGGAAGACAGTGAGGATGGCGGCAGGGAAGGTGTCGAAGTTGGTTGTTGGCGTTTCATCTTGAAAGTTGAACCTGAGAAAACACAAGTCTCAGGAAAAGGCGGCCCCACCAGGAGCCGGGAGCGCCCGGCCCCCCGGCGCCAGCTCTGGTGGCGGCTGCATGCAGGCGGCGCTGTGTGGCCAGGCAGGCGGGGGGAGGCCGGCAGAGGCCCCCGTGTTGGTACAGCTGCTCAGAGCCGGCGCCCCCCACGGGCCACATACTGTCCCCCGAACAGCTGCATGCCCAGCAGGGCGAAGACCACGATGAACAGGAAGAGCAGGAACAGCAGGCTGATGATGGACTTCATGGAGTTGAGCAGCGACACCACCAGGTTCCGCAGAGAGTTCCAGTACCTGCCGGGGTGGCCAGGGCTGGTGTGAGCGGGGACACTGTCATCGGCCCGCCGCGAAGGACCTGTGTGAGGACCGCTCACACGGCCGCCTCTACACGGACCCCCCGCCAGGGGACCAGTGGGAGTGGGCTGCCAGCTGGGCCTATTCCCCTCTCGGACTCTCCCTGGGGTCCCCAGCACCCCCTCCACCCCCTCAAGTGCTCCTGGAGGCCAGACCCCAAGTCCCTCTTGATGTCCTGCCCCCCAGCACACAGGCCCCCTGGAGTCCACCCTCAGCTGTGCTGCTGACCCCTCAGTGACCAGTCCTTGCCAACTGCTTCCCTCCAGGTACCACCATCAGCCCAGGCCCCAGGGTGACAGGCCGAGTGCCCCGTGGGGTGCCGGGACCCCACAGGGACCCTGCAGCCACGTTGACACATTGTGGGCTCCGCACCCAGCTGTTCACGGGGACGGAGCCTCAGACACTTGGGCCAGTGGGGCCCTGCTGTCCTGGGCCGAGGGCTGCAGACTGTGCGGCTACGAGAGGCGTCTCCCCGTCCTGCCCCTGCGGCTCTGCCAGGCGGGGGGCGGGTGGACCCCACCCAGCTGTCCCCACTCACTGCACCACCTCTGCCTCCTCGCAGGCAACACGGGACGACTCACAGAGTAACGCAGACCACCAAGGGGGTCACACTGGGGTCGGGCAGCCGGGCAGGACTGACGAGCTCCCTTTGGGTCACCCCCTTTACTCACGGGGAAGCAGTTGCCCGTAAGAACTGTGTATGTGGCCCACCGCCCTCGAGAGAGGGTTCACGACCACAGGGCGTGACTGGAGTCTCCTTTGCTGTTGCGTTTATTAGGTGACTTTGGTCAATGAGATGACACAGGCTCAGGAGCACAGCCCACATCACCTGTCTGCTGTTCTGTGTGCTCACCCCCCAGTCTCGTCTCCTTCCGTCACCGTGCACCCCTCTACCCTCTCCAACGTCCCCCGGCCCCCTGGGCTCCAGAGCGACTGACCGATGGGAGCAAACTAATGACGGCAGAGACCCCCTGGTGACACTGGAACCCACTGGGGTGGCCCCGATGGTGGACGTGCCCAGCAAGGCCGATGGGAAGCCGAGCCGGGCTGTTACCACCTTTGAGTTTGTAGGTTTGCGCCTGTGTGTTTACAGAGCCGCAGCGAGAGGTTCCGCCATCAAACGGGCAGCACGCGTTCGAGAAGCAAGTGTGCAGTGCGGCCGACCTCCCACACGGCCCCCGAGCACCCCGAGGGGACGTCCCCCCATGCCCAGGAGCCCACGGGGACCTACTTGGTGACCTTGAAGATCCTCAGCAACCGTAGAGCCCGCAGCACGCTGATCCCGAAGGAGGTCCCGGGCTTGACGGCGGCCCAGACCACTTCGAAGATGCTCCCCACGATGACCTGCAACGGCGCGGGGTCAGCCTCCGGCCACACGTGCCCAGGTGTGTGCAGCGGCACCGGCCGTGCCAGCCTCGTCCGCAGCCCCTGCACCCGCCCCCCAGGAAGCCGCGGAGCCCACAGGCCTGTCCTCCCCTCGGCCCACCAGTCACACCACCAGGACACGGGACAGAGTGACAGCCGGGGGCCCAGTGCCGCTGCCTTAGACAGCTGGCCTCTCCCGGGTGCAGCCCTGCTGCCCTGTTGACTCCTGAGCCGTCGTTTCCCGGTGCCCAGAGGCCAGCGTGGCGCACCGGGACCTCCTGTGGCCAGCCTGCCCACAGGTTCCCACCCCATCCACGCTGGGCCTGTGGCCCAGGTCCCCACGGTCCTCACAGGCTCCACAGGGGGCCATCCTGGCTGATGTCCAGGGTGAGAGACTTGCAGAGGACGGGCGCTGGGCCTGGGGCACAGCAGGCCCCTCGCCGGCTCCCCCTGGACAGGACGCCTGGCAGGGCCACCAGGCCCACCTGCTCCTCATCCCCAAACCCAGCCCCACAGCTGGTGTGCAGAGCCCGAACGTCCAGCCTCAGCCCCTTACACCCCAGGTGCCACACTTGGCTTGGGCGTCACCCAAGGGCTCGGTCGTTTCCACCCATCTCACGTTCGCCTCCAATCAGCCAGCTTCCAGCAACGTTCTCACCTCGCCCCGAGAAAGGCGGGCGTCCGGGCAGAGGCCTGGCAGGCCCCTGCGACCTGCCTGTGGTCACCAGCGGCCCGTGAACCTGCTTGTCAGGTCTACTGACGCACACACGCGTGCACAGCTGTGCACCTGAACAGAAATGCATCTTTCGAGGCATGTCGGGTGTGTGCCGACGCCCCGGCGCACCGACGACTCGGTACCTGCACCAGCGGCGTCCCTCCAGGTGGGGCCCAGGCTGCAGTTTCCAGACAGGCCTCCTCCTCACTGTGGGTCCCTCAGCAACTCTGCCATTTCCCATCAGGTGGGGCAAGTCAGCCTCTAAGATGACCCGATGGTCCCCAGTGCTTGGTGCTCACCCCTGAGTGTACTCCCGTCTCCTGGGCATGGGCTGAACTAGGGAGTCACTCCAGCGAACAGAAGGTGGCAGAGTGATGGGACGTCACCTCTGAGGTGAGAGTCATACAATGACTGCAGTTTCCTGGGGTCACCAGCTGCAGCCCACGGGGACTGCCAGCGACTCGGGGGCTGGTCCCTGAGGCAGGTGCCGGAAGGGTGCTCTCCACCCCAGCGGCGCTCCCGAGAGACACCGAGCCGGGACCCCCGCTGAAGTCACACCTGGTGCCTGACCCACCAAAATGACAGATAATGTTTGTTCTGTCAAACCACTAAGCTCTGGGGCCGTTTGTTACACACCAAGAACAACAACCTGGGTTTTGGCATCAGAAGGTAGGGCACCGTTGGCATAAACACCTAAAATGCAGGCGAGGTTTGGGAAGCAGAGAAGGGCCCCGAGCAGCCTGTCAGTGACTCTGGAAATGCCAGGCCAGCCACGTCGGACCCTGACACTGAGGGGCCCTTCCCCCAGGCCCCCGGCCTCTCACCAAGGGAAGGACCCCGCGGTGCTGGCGGCTAGGACAGCCCCTCAGGAGCCAGCAGTCGGGGCCGAATCCAGCAGGTGCTTAACAAACAAGGAGCCCGCCAGGCCGGGCTGCCCATGTCTTCCTGCTGCCCAGGTCACACGTGAGAGGACAGTGACGAGGGAAGAGCCGTTACGTAAAAGGTGGCTGGGACTTGCCGGCTTGGGAGCACTCAGCTTCTCCTGACAGCGGAGAACATGGGCACCAAACAGAGGGGACGGCACAGCGCGCCCACCATGAACCCCTGGCCCTGCCGGTCGGTGAACAGCTGACAGAGGAGGCAAGAACGCAGTGGGGGAGAGACCGGCGCTTCAATCAACCGACACATGTGGCGAAAAGAAAGCAGACCACCGCCTCGCACAGCACCCAAGAACGAACTCAGAACGGGTTGAAGACTTAAATGTCAGACTGGAAACCACAAAACTCCTAGAAGAAAACGCAGACAGTAAACCCTGACTCTGACCTTAGAAATACCTTTTTCCTGGTGCATCTCTGAGGGCGAAGGAAACAAACAAAAAAAGAAGAAACAAGTAGCACCGCTGAACCAGAGAAGATATTTGCCAGTGATACATCCAATAAGGAGTTAACATGCAAAACTTATAAAGAACTCATACAGCTCAACACCAAAAACATAAACAATCTAACGTTAAAAATGAGCATGTGGCTGGTGTGGCTCAGCGGACTGAGCACTGGGTTACAAAGCAAAGGGTCGCAGGTTCGAGTCCCAGTCAGGGCACATGCCTGGGCAGCTGGCCAGTTCCCAGTAGGGGTGCGTGAGGGGCAACCACACATTGATGTTTTTTTTCTCTCTCTAAAAATAAACACATAAAATCTTTAAAAAGATTAAAAAAAAATATATATATATATATATATATATATATATATATATATATATTTTAAAGACGTTATGTATTTCTCTTTAAAGGGCAAGGGAAGGAGAGGGAGAGAAACATCAATATATGGTTGCCTCTCGTGCAGCCCCTGCTGGGAACGGGCCTACTACCCAGGCGTGTGCCCTGACTGGGAGCTGAACTGCAATCCTTTGGTTCGCAGACCCGTGCTCAATCCACTGAGCCACACCAGCCAGGGCAGATAAAATATATTTTTTTAAATAAAAATAAAAACGGGCAGAGAACCGACCTGAATAGACACTTCTCCAGAGAGGACCCACAGACCTGTGCAGGCACATGAAAAACACTCAACGTCACTAATTCGGAAGGTGCAAACTGAAACCACTGTGAGACGTCACACACGCCGGCCAGAATGCCCACCACCGGCGAATCCACAAACAAGTGCAGGCGCAGAGAGAAAGGACACCCGTGTGCACTGCGGCGGGGGTGTGGCCTGGGCGGCCAGGTCTCTCCTTCCCCACATGACCAGCGACACCCACCCAGGGTCCAGGAAGCCTGGGCCCCACCCAACCCCCCTGCACGGCCCCGGGCCCATGAGGTGCTGGCCCTGGTGACTCAGCCACACGTGAGTGTCCTGGGTGGCTGGCTCTCCGAAGTGTGAGCAAGATGAGCCATTCCTGTCAGCTCCAGGCCCACCGCGGCCCCGGGCCCTCCCTGGCTGCAGAGAACTCTGCGGGGACGTCTGTCCTTCCTTCTCGTTTAGCACCTCCAGCGGTCAGAATGCGGCCTCTCTCTGGGTGGGGGCCAGCAGTCCCGGCTCGGGGCTCACTCGCACCTCAGACATCTGTCTCCCTTCGAGGCTTCTCTGAGCACAGAGGGCAGTGAAGGGCCCGGGGCCCTGCCGCCCGACCCCACAGAGAGGGCAGGCCATCGGAGTGGCCTGTCCTCCCCTGGCAGCTCTGGTGTGCCCACCTGTCCATGGCCAGGATGGGGGGCGGGGGTTGCAGGACCACAGCCCCTGACCTCTGCAGGGCAGCAACACATGGGGAAGGTCATCGTCCCAGGCCCCGAAGGGCCAGGGCCTCCTCGAACAGGGAGGGGGAGTGGGGTCTGCAGAAGGCACCCCACCCACTGGGGCCTCACCAGGGCGGGGGGAAGGTCCGAGGGTGCTCTCCAGTGAGGGTCCCGCTAGACCCGCCGGGACCCCCGCACAGACCCCTGCACAGGCATCCCACTCACCCCAAAGTCAAAGCAGTTGAAGGAGGACCGGAAGTAGCTTCTGGGCCCCAGGCCGTACATCTTCAGGGACATCTCTGTGAGGAAGAGACCCAGGAAAACAAACTCTGCAAAGTCTAGGAGAAGCCGGAGAAGAGGGGGCGGTTAGCTCGCGGCCTCCTCCCACCTGCTCCAGCCCGGACCGTGGCTGCCAGGCCCTGGGCCTCGAAGGGCTGAGCTGGTCTGTGGTCCCTGAGCTCTGAAACCTCAGCCAGGACAGGAAGAACTGAGGGACCGGGAGGGATGCAGACAGGTGCTCATTCCAGTTCGAGAGGTGGTAAGTGACTGGTGCCGCTGGACACAGGGACAGGCTTCCGGGACTGAGCTCAGCGGGGAGTTCCGGGGCACGGGGTCCTCTGGGCACCCCGGGCAGATGGCTGGGCCACCCTGGACCCATCTGCCTGCCGAGCCCCTTCCCTGCCGGCAGAGTCCCATCTCCAGAGGTGCCTGGTCTCTTGGGACCTGCCGAGGTGCCACCTCAGAACCTCGTGGCACCAAGCTGGGTTTTAACTCTGTCCACAGTTCGCCCACTGACTGGGGGGCATCCCTGCGGCTTCAGCACCCCCAGCTCTGGCCAGTCCGGCACTTGCTCTGAGTCACGCAGAGGCGCCTGTGGCCACTGGCTCGAGACCAAAGGGAGGCCGTGGTGCAGCTGGGCCGAGATCCGAGGCACGAGCACGGCCCCCGACCCGGCCTAAGTGGAAGGAGGGTCAGATCCAGAAGAACAAGGCCATAGACAGCAGGAGGTGCAGCCGGCTTGGCCACTGGCCCCACCAGGGGCTCCAGCCACCAGCTCAAGATCACTGCCTGTAATCCTCCTGCTCAGGTGCTGAGCGGGAATCAGCTCACTGTGAAGCTGACCAAGGGCAACATGGCCTCCGACCCGGCTCAGAACCCGCGGTGGGGCCTGGCGCAGGGCACCAAGGCTGAGAGAATGTGGGAGGGGCCAGCTCGAGTGGCCACCAGCCCAGGCTCCCCAGGGCCTCGGCACCTCCAGCAGCTCCTGGTGAGACAGAGGGCAGATGAGGGGCCCCACACTTCTCCCGTCACTGTGCACCCCGAAACCAGCATGCTCCCCCACTCTCCACACGGTGCCATGCTGAGAACCCCGCAGCACCTGTCGGGGGCACACCTGCCGCAGCCCGGACCCCAGACGGGCAGAGACAGTGGCTGGGCTGCCCACCGACAGACACAGGACCAGAAGGTCTCAGGCAGGGTCCCCCTTCCATGGCCTGAGGACGTGGACCATCGGCCCTGGGGAGCAGGCCTGGCTCCCGAAGCCGGCCAGTGTCCCCGGGGCTCCCAAGCTGGGCACCTCAGCAAAGCAGCCTCCCTGCAGGAGCTGAGAGGCAGTGTCAGAGGCACAGGGGACCCTCAGGTGGGAAGGGCTCAGGCTCAGTGCAGAAAAAGCCGCCACCAAGGCCTGACACTCCCTCATGCCGGGCAGCAGGGGTCGGGCTGGGGGCTGGGAGAGCTCTGCCTGGCCGGCCCGAAGTGTAGCTCACAAGGCCCAGCAGCCTGGAAAGACCCAAGGCTCCTGGCCACCGAGACCCAGAGCCACCCACATGACGTCACAGAGGCGTGGGCACCTGCCCCTCCCGGGCCTTGCCCCCGACAAAGGAGCCCAGGTCCTGGGCCGAGAAGCCACCGACACAGGCCCCTACAGGGGCCCAGACACCGGAGCTGCCCAGAGGCTCATCCTGTTGCCCTGGAGTCTGGGGAGAGCGGCCTGGGAGGGACCCAGCAGGAGGTACGGAGGCCGAGACAGTGGCGGGGGAGAGGCGGTTCCTGCGTCTGCCTCAGCCGTTCTTCTGCTCTGTGCTCAGCCTCCCATCTGAGGCTGCGAGGCGGTGGTCACTCCCTCACCCCAGGGGCTCTCCTGCCCCCGGCCCGGCCTGCCCAGTGCTCCCTAGCCCACCCCACACACCTGCGCCACGTGTCTGTGCGGCGCTCCCTGGGCCCCTCCTGCGCCTGCTGCCTCTGCCCTTCCCGACGCATTTCCATACAGACCTGGGAGTCTGGCCTCGAACCCCACCCCCACACAACCAAGTGGCCTGAGGGACCATCCAGCGCACGTGAGCCCTTCAGGAGCCGCTGGGGCTCCATGGTCCCGCAGAGAGGCGTGCGGCCAGCCTGTGGGGACCAGGACTGGCAGTCGGGAGGGTCGTCCTCTCTCCGGGGCACCCTGGGGGCTCCAGGCACACAGGGCTCCACAGAGGAAGGTCCCCGGGGGGCCCCAGACCAGCCTCGCCCCGAAAGCAGCTGCAGCCTCCTGGGCTGGTGAGGGCAGCTGAGCCCGGGCAGCAGGGTGGCCGCTTAGTCCCTGGACGAGGGCAAGGAGCCCCCCCCCCGCTAGCTTACTCTCTGCTTCCTTGGATGGTCGCCAGGGCCTAGACAGGCCATGACACGCTGTGGCCAACGGACGCTGGCCAGTCAGCCCTGCTCATGGACACACCAGGTCCAGTTGGTCAGAAAGAACGTGGAAACAGCCAGGTCAGGCTTGCTCCTCGGGTGCAGCGGGAGAGGCTGCCCCGCAGCCCTGCAGCCTGGTTGTGGCTCCGAAGCCCTCGCAGGGGAGCCCCCGGGTCCCTGAGCTTCCTTCCCAGGGGGCCCGGGCCCTCCCCGGCTGGCTTCTCACTCCCCGGTGGATGGGGCTCTAGCCAGATCAGCTGGGTTCCCGGAACACAGGCCCAGCTCTGCGGGACCTGGGCCGCCTGGGATGGGGCCCCTTTGTCAGTGCGGAGATCCCGCCCGGGGCGTTCCAAGACCAACGGCCACAGCCCAGGAGTTCCAGGCTGTGGACCCGAGGTGGCTGAAGGAAGAGGGAGAGGCGGGGCCCGGCTACGTACACAGCGCCGTGGTGAGCCGCTGGGGCTGGTTGTAGTGCACCATGGCCACACACAGCGTGTTCAGGGCCACCACGCACAGCACCACCCAGTAGAAGCTCTGAGCCTTCACCATACGCCGCACAAAGAACCGGAACATCTTCTCCTTCCTGCGGAAGTAGGACGAGCCCTCCGTCTTCCCACTCTTGAGGCTGGCTCGGGCAAAGGGGGACCCTGCGGAAAGGGGGCTCGCTGAGGACGTGTGGGACCAGTGGCCCAGGACACGCTCCCCTCTGCCCCCCCAATAGGGACACGCACCACTGTACCCTGGGTGGGCCCTGGCCCTGCCGCCGCTGCACAGAGGGCCAGGGGCTCCATGGCTGCTGAGCTCTGGAGGGGAGGGTGGGTCCCCGCACCCGGCCACCTTCCAAGAAGGTGGCCCCCACACTCCCAGGCCACCCGAGCCCCTCCCCATGGCCTGGGGAGTCCGGCTGCCTCGGACACTCCCTGAGTCTCTACCCCAAGCCAGCAGCCCGGGGGGCCACCTGGGACATGGGAGACAGACAGCCAGGAAGATCTGGTCCCTGCAGAGCTGGTGACACGTGCGGCTCCAGCGTGGGCTGAGACAGACGGCTCCCTGTCCAGGGGACAGCAGAGCCCAGAGTGGCCGGTGAGAGCCACACTGAAACGAGCCGGCCGAGGCCAGCTGTGCACACTGCTTGGCTGGAGCCCCAGCCAGACATCTGCGCACCGGCCAGAGAATGCTGGGCTTCTGTGGCACAGCAGGCCCAGGACTAGCTTGGGAAGGGTGGGCAGTGGGGAGGGAGTGGAGAGGGACCCTGGAGAGCTGGGCAGCCTGGGTGACAGACAGGAAGCTGGGTGCACAGAATCCCAGTGGCCACAGGCTCAAGCAGCCCAGGGGGCCGGTGGAGGCTCACCCGCGGCACAGAGATCTGTGAGCCGGTCCTGGCCCTCCTCAGCGTGGATCAGGTCGTTCCGGCTCTTCTTGGCGGCCGCCCGCTTCAACACTGCTTTAGACGAAGGGTGGAAGGGGCCACTTAAGCCAGAGCCAGAGCCACAGGCTGCCTGCCCGGCGGGGGGTGGGGGGGTGTTTTTCAGCTGAGGACCCTTCATCTTCCCGGGAACAGGCCCTTTCCTGTCTTCTGCCCAGAAGCTGAGGTGAGGAACATGAGACGGCTCCTGCCCTGTGGGCCTTCCCAGTCCTCAGGGCGAAGGGACAAGGAGCTCCGAGGGTGGGCCCCACGTTCTCTGCTCGCCACGGTGACGTCAGGAAGGCCTGCCACCAGCAAACCTCGGCCGCAGCCAGGCCGGGCCTGCAGCCGCCCCAGAGCCCACTCTCCAGGCCAGCTGAGGCCAGAAAGGTCTGGCCAGGTCTGCAGACCTGCGCTCTGGCCCAGCTGACAGCACGGGGCAGGGGCCTGGGCTGACCTGAGCAGGGGGTGGAGACAGCAGCTGCCCTGCCCCAGTGGCCCCCAGCTGTGCTATGCGCATCTCCATGGCCACCAGGGTGGCGCCACGCCAGCCCTGGGACAGGTCTGGTTGGCGTAACCCTGCCAACGAGAGCTTCCGGAAGCAGCGCCCCCCAGACGTGCTGTGAGGACGGGACCTGCTGACCGAGACGGCAGGTGCCGCCTGGCGATCGGGCGCTTGCACTGCGCTGAGCACGGCTGAGGAGTGGTGTTTCCCGTGTCACGGTGGGGCCCCTGCGTGCGTGCTCTGGGTCACACGTAAGCCGCCACGCTGGACAGCATGGGTTGAGACCACGGCCACACTGGTCCGCGGCACACAGCTCGCCCGGAACACGCAGCAGAGTCACAGGGCCTCCCTCCCTCCCTCCAGAAGGGCCCTGCCAGGCCCGAGGGTGTGTATGCCGGACGGGCGGGCGCGTGGCCTGGCGTGCGTGCACAGCGGTACTGCCCATGGGCACCAAGCCCTCTTCCTGGGGAGCAAACGCCACCCGGGACCTACCATCCAGAGGGGACTTCTCCTCCGCGTTCTTGTCCTCCTCGGCCAGCATGACCTCCTCTGGGGGCGAGACACAACCTCAGCCGAAGCCTCTCTGTCCCCACCCGAGACCAATGAGGCCCAGCCTTCTCAGAAACCTGTGGGGCCCACGGCTCAGCTTTTCTACCAGGAAAGGGACCCCCGTGTCCCCCAGGGCCACTCGTGAGCCACCTCCCTGAGCACAGCCACCCCACGAGGCACCTGTGAAACCTCCCGGCGCACTGCGGGTGCCCCGCCCAGAGGAAGGGACACTGGCTTGGGCTGGGAAAGGGGGTCAGGAGCCACAGGTAAGATGGGGCAGAGCTGGGGGACTCAGGTCAAGGGCGGCGCACTTGCGTGTGATGGGCAGAAATGAGGGGCAGGCTGGGCTGGGCCCGGTCTTCGTGACCAAGGCCAGTGTCCCCAGAGCCCTGAGCCACCTGGTGTCACACGGGGCGAACTAGAAGAAACGCGTCTTCCCCTTTCAGAAACCTGGGCGACCCTCACTAGGTGAGTCTCGTCCCCCCGGGGCCAGGGACCCGGCTGGCAGCCAGGAGGCGGTGCACCGGCAGGACCACAGCAGCTGCCCGGCTCTCACCGGCCTTGAAGATCCACTCCAGGTACCCGTTGAGCTCCCGCTCGATCTGCTGCTGCCGCCGCAGCTTCAGGAAGGCCCGGCGGTTCTCCACCCGCTCGCGCTCCTTGGCAAACTCGCTGTGGTGCAGGGGCCGAGAGAGTGCAGGTCGGGTGAGTGGCACACTGCCGGCTGCCCCCAGGTGCGCAGCCCCAGGGGCAAGGGGACCAGGAGGGGCTGGGGCAGAAGGAAGAGGCCATGGGCAGCCCCTCTTGGTGACCCCCACCCCAGCCTCTGAGCTGAACTGCAGGGGGCACACCAACCCCCCGTGCTCAGACACCCCCCACCCTTGCACACAGGGACGGCACCCGCAGAGGGGACCAGAGGGCAGGGACCGGCCCACACCTCCCCGCCTAGAGCAGGCCCGGCCCCGCTGCCCTGCTGATGAGAAGCCCTGGAGGGGCGCGCTCGCTGGGTCCTCTGCGGGGAGGACGGGCAGGTGGGAGCGGGGAGAGGGGCCGGGTCGGGGCGGCCGCAGCCGGAGGAGACCTGCTTGAGCCCGTCAGCCTCCTCTGGGGCCCAGAGGCTCAGGGGGAGCCTGTTCTGCTCAGCCTCCAACATCCTGCCCGCCCAGAGCCTTCAGGCTCACGGTGCCAGGGGGCGGCTTTCTGTACACACACACACACACACACACACACACACACACTCACGTCCCGCCTGGCCCAGCTTTCCCAGTGCAGGCCAGGGGAGGGCCCGCACCACACCCACGCCCCGCAGCACGGCCGGCTGCTCCCAGCCAAGAGGCTGTGTCTCTTCCAGGAAGAGCAGCTCTGGGCTCAGAGCTGGGGCACGGGCCTGCCTCCAGGGACTCAGGGAGAATGCGGCTCTGACCCAGGCTGACCCCTAACCTGGGCCAGGGACCCCCAGGGCCTGAGCGGCAGCCACCCAGGCTGCAGGAGGAAGGGCTCTGGCCTGACCACCCCCCTCAAGCTCTGAATCTGCAGCCACAGGGTCCCCAAGGGAGGAGACCTTGCCTAAGGGGCAACAACCATGACCGGCCCCCAGGCTCCGCCCACCCCAGTTCCTCCTGCACCTTCTCCAGAGGGCCCTGCTCAAAGCTCCCGCCCCCTCCCCACTGTGTCCCCCCACTGGAGGCCACGCTCCTCACGGCCCAGCCATCCCCCCACCACCGGGGAGAGGGGAGCACATGCATCGCACGGCCCCTCCCTCCTCGGGAGGCCCCTCCCTCCTCCACCGAGCTCATCCCTGGTCCCCTTTGGGTCTCCGTGGAGATGTCTCTTCACCAGGTGCCTTCTCTGAGCCCAGGCCTCCTGTCTCGGACCACACACGTTCCCAGAGATTTCCACCCGTCCCCAGTGCTCTGGGCGTGCCAGCCCCTAGGCATGTGCTTTCAAAGGCATGCTGGTGTCCATCACCCCCTCTCAGGGCTGGTCCTCGGCCAGTGATACAGGCCAGACCCGGGGCATGGAGGCCTCGGCCCCCACCACTGTCCTTTCCACGGCTGCTCCTTTCCCGGCCAGTATGACGGCGGCCCCTTGGGTGCCCAGGCTCTCCTCCCAGGCCACTGCAGGAGCCCTGGCTTGAGCAGGAGTCCACGCGGGCCGGAGGGTCCTGTGCGTTCCCGCTCCCTCCCAGTGCGGGGTTGGGAGGCACCTTTCCCACACAGGGCTCCCCATCTCGCACCCTCCCCCGTCCTCTCCTGGGGCTGGACAGAGAGACGACGGGGCCAGGGCTGGGCTGCAGAGCCCGCGATCGCCGAGACTCAGGGCCGCCCCCTCCATTCCCTGGTCTCCACCGCTGCCCCAGACCCACCACGGACCCAGTGAGAGGCCAGCGTGAAGACCAGGGATGGGTGGTCGGGGGAGGACGGCCGCACAGAGAGAAGCTGGCTAGATCTCGGGACTCGCAGTGCCCACCCGGCGGTCAGGCCGGGTCGCCGGGCCAGGGCCACCCCCGCGTCACACACACTGTGTCTGACGCCACACGGAGGGCACAGCCCTCACGGCCTCTTACCCCGAGAGCACACCCAGCACCAGGTTGAGCATGAAGAAGGAGCCGATGATGATGAGCGGAATGAAGTACAGCCAGTTCCAGGTGTTGCCAGCAGCGTCGTTGGTCTGGAAGCAAGAGAAGATGAGAAAGGACGGGGACGAGACACACAGCCACGCAGCCCTCGCCACGGAGGCGCCCCTGGCCCTTGTCGGATGCCTCACGACCCTCAGCACCCCGGCCACTGCCCAGCATGCCAGGATGCGAAGGAGCAGCCTCGGGGAGCAGAGGCTGGCGGGGGGGCTGGGGGGCGCCTGCTGGCCTCGCTGGGTGGGACAGCCCGCTCCCTGCCGGGCTGCTGCTCGTGAAGACCACAGGCCCCCGGGCCCAGGTCTGACCTTCCGCTTGCAGCAGCTTCCACAGCTCAGGGGCAGGGAGGCCCGGCCACCGTCCCCCAGACAGACAGCAAGACCCCAAGTCCCCAGACAGGGTTCTGGCTCTGTGCTGGTCCGAGACAGAGCCCACACTTGGGCGTGGCCCCAGCAGCTGAACGCAGACACGAGCGTGGCCCCCGGCCTTGGTTTTACAGCAGGGTCCGCGGAAGGGGCTGCTCCTCCAAATCCAGCTAGTTTCTGGGTGCAGTTTGTTCCTACGGGGCCCCAGGGAACCCGGCTGACGGGCAGAGAGCCTCACACTCCACAGGGCCAGGGCAGACCCGTGCCCACCCCACCGGCGGGGGTGCTGCCGCTCTGCCACCTCGCCCCGCGCTGCTCTCCCCAGGGGCAGCTCCAGTCACGGGCAAAGCCCCAGACAGGACAGAGGAGGCAGAGGGGGCGGCCCTGGGGGATCCCCACCTTCCGCCATCCGGGGGAACTTACAGACTCTGCCCTGAAGGTCCTGGGCCCCGGCACTGATGGCAACGTGTGGCTGCTGATGGCTGGACACTGGCCCAGAATGAGTGATCCGACCCCCACTGCAAAGGGCCATCGTGCCCCTGGACCACACCCTGCTATGCCAGTCTGCTGCCTCAGCCACGGAAGCCACCAAGCCCCTGGAGGGACACTCCACGGCCCCCCTCCTGCCCGGGAAGCAGTCTCTCCTCCCTGGCGGCCATTCCCACCAGCAGCCAGGCCCCTCTGTCCTCCTCTTCAGAACAGAGCAGATGGGACTCCCCCTTCTGGGAAGACGGAGTGGACACCCTCTTCCCATTTCTCCCACCGAGAACGACGAAGGCCCTGGACATCATGTGGACGACGAAGACGAGATGCCCTGGGAATGCGGCAGAAAGGGAGGGAGGGAAGCAGACCGGCCGGGACCCCGGGACCCCCACTGAGCTTCCTGGGCCGATGCTCCCTCGCTCGTTGTTGCGGGGTGTGCCCCAGGCCCGCAGCTGCTCTGGCCAAACACAGCGGGGAACGGCACAGACCCGGCAGGGAGCCTGGACTGCACCCGGCCCAGGCGGCGATGAGGCCACCAAGCCACCCAGCCCCCAAACCAGGGTGGCGTCCAAGAGGAGGAGCGAGCAGGGAGTTGGCACGTCCCCTGACAAGTGGGTAAGCAGACACCCCCGCCTGAGCTGCGGTCGGAGGGCCTATGACCCTAACCCTACCCAGCAGCGAGGAGACGGCCCACCCCTCACACGGGGGAGCTTTCAGGGAGAGCGAGGAGCCGCGCCTAACCCCCGGGGAAGCGCCCTACAGGCGTGTGGGGCAGACAGAGGGCGTGTGGAGGGAGTCTGAAAACAGACCGAGCTGGGCGGAAACAAAAGCACATCGGACCCGAAGAGCACCGCCAAAGCCGCGCCGAGAGGTACGTCTGCGGCCGTGGGTACACGCGTCACGAAAGGGGCGGGGCCTCAAACCAGCCGCCTGAGCTCACGCCTCCGGGAGCCAGAAGAAGGGCAACATCAATCCAAAGCCAGAAGGAAGTAAACAATAAAAACGAGAGCAGGAATCAACAAAGTTGAATTTTGTTATAAATAACACAGGAAATTAATTTTTAAGTTGGTTCTTTGAAAACAATCAGGGAAGCTGACACACCTCTGACAGAAAGAGACAGACAGAGAGACAAACAGAGACAGAGACAGAGGCACAGACAAAGGCACAGCAGAAACGTTCCTCCCAGGACCGGAAACAGCGCCGACAGGCCCCGCTCGGTGCGGCTGAAACACATCAGTCTCTCAACACACCAACCCCCACCACTTGTCCAACACAAAACAGACACGTTGCGTAGTCCGGTGATTATTAAGGAAAGTAAAATTGTAATTTAAAAAGCTCCCCCCCCGCCCCGGCTGGCGTAGCTCAGTGGATTGAGCACTGGCCTGAGAACCGGTTTGACTCCCAGTCAGGGCACCTGCCTGGGTTGCGGGCCAGGTCCCCAGTGGGGGCCACATCAGAGGCAACCACACACTGATGTTTCTTTCCCTCTCTTTCTCCTTCCTTTCCCCTCTCTCTAAAAATAAATAAATAAAATATATATTTTTTTAAAAAGCTCCCCCCCTCAAAGGGTTACACTGATTAATGGAATAGGACTGATGATTTAGAAACAAACCCTTCCATTTACAGTCACCTGACTTTTCAACGAGGGTGTCAGGACAGTCCAGCATGAAAGACTGGTCTCTCCACCCAGTGGGAGGGCGGGGCCTCCACGTGCAAAAGGAGGAGGCGGGAGCCCCCCACTGCACGTGCGAACACCCACTCTCGGAGAGTGGCGGACCTCCCTGCGAGAGAAGAAGTAATACGACTCTAAGAAAACACAGGCAGAAGACTTCATGCCTCTGGGTTAGGTAACAGATTCTCAGACAAGTGGTAAAGACGAAAATGGAAAAATTGTTCTTCATCAAAATAAAAATCCTCTGTTCTTCCTGTGATGGCATCAAGAAAGTAAAAAGCCAAGGCACGGAATGCAAAGAATGCCTGCAAACCGTGTATCTGACGAGAGCCTAGACCCGTAATGTCTAGATGAATCTTACAGCTCAGTAACAAAGTGACAAATAACCGGGTGTTCCAAGGAGCGAAGAACCTGAACACGCGTCCCCGCTGGACCATGCAGGCCCCCAGGGAGCGCAGACCAAAACCCAAACGGAGCAGCCCTTCGGGGGCAGAGCAGCAGCATCCAGAAATACAGCAACTCCGCGGGAGAAGCGCAGTCCCCGCAGCCGTGGGCGGCAGGGGCGCTGACGAGCGAGGCAAGAGCCTCCACAGGGAGCATCGGGAGCTAAGACCGCGGGCCGCCGCCGGCTCCGGTGAAAACAGCCACAACACGAGGAAAGCGAGACCGTTCTCAAGCGGCCGGTGGACATGCAGAAGCACGCAGCCCTCGGAGAAGCTTCAGTTTCTTACACAGCCGACACGCGGCTGGGCCGGGGCCCAGAAATCGCACCACCGGGCACTCACCCCAGAGGAGTGAAAACCTGCATTTGCAGTTTGCACACGAATGTGCACAGCGACATTATTCCCAACAGCCCCGGATGGCGAGAACCCAGGTGTTTGGTAACCACAGGGCGTGTCCCTGGCACCAGCTGGCCCACCCACCCCCAGACTGCTCAGCCACCACTCAGCAGCCCGGGGGAGCCCCAGGGAGCGTGGTGTCATCCGACAGTCCTGAAATGGCAAACCCCCGGAGTCAGCCACCAAGCCGGCGGCCCGCAGGGACACAGGAGGGGACCCTGCAGGGGGACACAGAGCCTGCATCTCACCTGCGTGTGACACGGGCTGGCCTTGCAGGCTGTCGCCATGAGAGGAGACACTCAAGGACTCGAGGGGTCTGCGTTATTGCTCCAACCGTTTCCCAAGACATTTAAGTGTAAAAAGCTGGTCCCCAAACGTCCCTGCACGGCCTCTCCCCGCCAGCTCCAGGTCACAGAGAAGCCCAAACCTCAGAGCTGACGCCGCACCCCGTCCTCAAACCCGAGCACCCCGGGCTTCCTGCCCACCCTGCTCCAGTCAAGTTTACCAGCATCTTCCTTGACCTCTCACGGCCCCTGACCTAGCTCACCACGCTCTGGAAGTGCCTGCTTTGCTCTGCTGGCCCCGAAGTTACTCCTACCCCCACCCCAGCCCACCTCGGGCTCCTTGTGAACGCCAGCCCCCGCCAGCCCCGGGCTCAGAGACGCTGTGTCTGGTGTCCCCAGGTCCCCATCTAGGCTGGTTACCCTGCGATCTCATCCACCCCCATGAACTTCCACCCCACTGGCGACTTCACACACACGCCCTCGGCCCCGCCAGTCCTCTCACCTACCACCTTCGTACTCCACACCCCACTGGGACAGAAGGGTCACTGAAAACGTTCCAGGCTGAAGCAGAATACTGGGGTGCCCCCACTCTCTGCAGAAGCAACACTGCGCAGACACCTTGCTCATCACTCTCCCCCTCAGTGGAAGGCACCCGCTTCCCCAGCAGCTGCTCGCTCGGTCCCACATCCCAGCGAAAGGCAAGTCAGTCCTGCGCCTCCTTCGGAACACGGGCCTTGGCACACTCCCTCCTCGGGGCGTGATGAGGTTACTACTCAGCACAACGAACATGTCAGAACCACACATCCACAATCACAAACCAAAGTCCCCCGCCAACCTGGGGATGGCATGGCCCTGGATGAGAGCTGAGCAACAGAAAGCTCAACAGTCACTTCAGACAGAAGGCTCAATTCAGCAACCGTCTCCCGTCCCAGCTGCTACTGAACAGGTCAGCGTGCTGCACACGGAGGGGCCAGCCCGGCTGGCCACCATCGGCAGGGAGGGGTGGGCAGCTCCCCTGTGCCCCCAGGCCCAGCATCAGCCCTCCTGCTGGGCTGCAACCCTAATGCCGCCAGAGCCTGGGAGGGGGCAGGGGACAGGCCAGCTCTTCCTTCTGGCCGCTGCCTGGAGAAAATCATGTCTCTCTGGGCTGCAAAGGCATTCGCTGCTGACTCACTCGCTTTCCAGAACCCTGGGAGCCCTTTCCGGCACGGGGGGAGGCCCCCACCGCCACTGGGTTTTCGGGGGTCCACTCTGAGCAGAGGTTCCCCACTGAGACCCCGCTGTCCTGCCGGCAGAATGTAAAGGGGCTGCTGTCTGCCCACTGGCCCCTGGCGACAGCTGCCTTGCCGACATCCTGTCTCTGGGCTCCCGACAAGGCACGCGCCCCTCGGCTCGAGGAGCCCATTTCTGTGGGAGCCGGGACGCCCCCCACCGGGCTGGAGGCGAGGGCAGCCTCTCCCTGCAGAGAGCCCCCCTCAAACACCCTGACTGCCTGCAACCGACCCCGGACCCCTGGGTGTGGACAGTGGCCACCTGCTGTGGGCCCACACGTCACCCTCGCCGCACCCTGGTGCCCCCACCCCACAGCATCTGGGGCCTCACGCTCGGGGGTCTTTGCGAAGCATCGCCCTCATCGAGCCCATAGGTACTGAATGCCTGCTGCTCAGGTCTCGGGAGGTGCCCAGCACCCCGTGGGGCCTGTGGAAGCCTCTGTCAGATGGGCTCCGGGGACCTCTCCTGACAGTGTCTCCTGCCCCCCACCCCGCTCTCGCCCGCCCCCCAGGGGCCCAGCCCCAGGGAGAGCTGGGGGCGGTGCTGGCGGCCCTGCTGCCCCTCGTCTGGGTGGGGCTGGCAGGGATGTGGCCAGCGCAGAGCTATTTTTAGGGCCGGTCTTTGTGGAAACCGTTCCTTGATCTGCTGCAGGGAGAGAACAGCCAAGCTCCTCGTCACTGCTTTTGTCCCTCGATCAAACAGGGCTGTCATCAGACACGACTCCCACTGCATAAAGGAATCTAGTTCAGCAGACTCGGGCCAGCTCTCCTGCCATCCGCCGGCTCACATTCACCAGGCACCTGCTTCGTGCCCGGCCCCGGGGCCCCCCTGGGTCTCACAGGCCCACGGGGGAGGCACAGAGCGAAGGGTCCCGTCTGCCCCTTCCCCCCGTGCCCCGTCATGACAGCCCCGAGCTGCCAGAGGCTGTGGGCGCAGGGCCCCGAGGGCTTGCTGCCCAAGCCGTGCAAGTGAGGGTTCAAAGGGAAGTGCCTCGTGCTCCAGGGTCCCCCACCCACGGCATCTGCACACCCTACAGCGGCGCAAAACCTAGCAATGCGCCAGCCTCGCCTCCCCGGCCCTGTCCTGGCTCCCACGCACCTTCCTGCTCTACCTCCCAGAGCCCCTGAGGCACTAACTTCATTGTTCTCTTGCCCTGCTGGTTCCCAGGGCTCTAGGGACAGAAGGCAGCTGGGGGCGGGGTGGGGGACGGCAGGGGAGGCCACCCCATTTCAAAAAGACAGAGGTCCGGGCAGGAGCAGAGGGCCTGCAGCACGGGGAGGGGGGGAGGGACGGGGTCACCAGGCCGCCCCCAGCTCTGTCTCCAATCCTGGTAGGACTGCCCAGGGGGTCGCTCACTGTGCGTGACTGTCTGGGCCGGGAGCCACGCTGAGACAGCGAGGAGACTGAGGAGGACACAGGCATCCCGTGTGGTGACAGAAGTGTCCCTGAGACCTACAGCCTACCGCTGTTCAGTCATCCCCAGGCCACCCCACCGTCCCCTTCTCCACCCAGAAGACCCAGCAGGGACACTCAGCCAGTCATCCACAGCAAGCCACCCACCAGCCCCAGGCCCTGGGTGAACCCGTCGCTGTCCCAGCCTCAGCTTCACCTCCTCAGGGTGGGTTGACGCCCCTGGGTCATGGGTGAAATGCCTCCCACGGCTGGACCGGGACCACACTCGTCTGCCTTCACCCGCCTTGCGAGAGAACCTTCCCGGGCATCGCCTTTTCAGAGCTCCCCCCGCCCTCAGTTCACTTTCCTAGCAGAAGCTGCAGGCCCTGTCCAGTCAGGAGCTTGAGCTGAGAGCAATCACAGTGAGCCGGGGGGCACGGTGGGGGGGCCTGAGGAAGGAGCCCGGGGCTGGGCAGAGGCTCCTGGCCAGGAGCACCACCCACGGGGCCCCGGAGCTGCAGGGCCCAGACGGACTCACATTGTACAGGATGTCGGTCCAGCCCTCCATGGTGATGCACTGGAACACCGTCAGGATGGCGAACAGGATGTTGTCGAAGTTGGTGATGCCGAAGTTGGGTCCTGGCCAGTACTCCCGGCACTCGGTGTCGCCCTCACACAGCCGGGCGGGGGCCTCCTTGCCACAGGGGAAGTCACCCACTGGCTCCGCGTCTGTGCACAGGAGGGCGGGGCTCAGGCCCTGAGCTCAATGGCACCGAGGTCTCCAACCCCTCCCCTCCCAGACGTGAGACCCTGTCCTAGGAGAGTGGAAAGCCCGTACCTGTGGAGTCCCCCAGACTCTCTGCCCCCCTCGCCTGCAGCCTGAGCTCAGACCCGCCCTCGGCCTCGGCCGGAACACGCGTCCCAGCTAAACGTGCTCCGGACGCCTCCACCTGGACACCAGAAGCCACGAACTCTTCAGCCCAGATCTGCTCCCCCCCCACGCTGATTCCTCCCCCCCCCACCCCAGACCAGACGGCCACAGGGCTCTCCCGACAGGAACACCTGCCCGTCACTCCAGAGCCAACACCACGCTGGACTCAGCCACTGCAGTCCCGGTGCTCCTCAGGCGGGGGACCCAGGGCCACCCCTCCTGTGCAGAGGACACCCAGGGGACGCACTGCCTGGCCCCACACAGGGACAAGCTGAGGGCAGAAGCCCGGCTGGCAGCCGGGGCCACACGGAGGGACGTGGGGGAGTCACCAGGAACCAGCGCCAGCAGCAGGTGCCAGTCCCCTCCACACCCAGAACCCCAGTGAGGGCACGAACCTCAGTTTGTTAACACACAGAAGCCCCGCCTCCCGACACGGGACAACTTCTGAGTGATTCTGGGAAGAAACCGACACTCCCAGGTTTAGGGGGCAAAGCTGACCACACGGGTTTATCATCCTTCCTCCATAAACGCTACGGAGAAGCCGGGAGAGTCACTACCTGCAGCCCCACTGTATCCTCCAGAACAGTAACTTTTCTTTCCGGCTCTCACATTCTGGATGGACTGGTCATCCCATCCTGGTCTCCTGGCTGCAGTGATCACAGCCATGTGACCAGAAGTGCCAACTCCAGGTGCCTTTGAAGGGAAAGCCCTCAAGACTCGCAGCAAAGAATGATGTTTGCAAGAAATATGGGAGGTGTTAAGAAAATTCCCTTTTATTTTCGGTCCGGTCAGAGACTTTTAAGACCTGAAGTTGCAGGAAAAGCTCTTCTCCAGTACTAAAGTGGTTACACGCGTCCTCCTTGAACGTGTCTGCAGCTCGAGCCAAAGCCCGTGTCGTCCTGCCTGCCCTCCCCTCAGCCCCATGTCCTCGCCCCCAGCAAACCCGAGGGCCCCACAGGCCTCGCCTCCCACAGCCCGTCCCCGGAGCCCTGGGGGTCCGGCCACAGCCACCAGGACACTCAGCCTTGTGGCGGAAGCTCTGGCCAGGCGGCCACCCAGCTCTCCCTCACTGCAGTGACACCTGCTCAATGCGCCCCCGGGCCTCCCGGCCACCATCTGAGGAGCGGCCCCCATGGCCATTGCACTTCTGATATCCTCTTGGCTTCCTTCCTAAAGTCACTACAGCCTGCACTTGTCTTCTTCACGTGTTTGCATTTAGCAGGCCCGTTCAGCACACGTCATTGGCTGGGCACCTGGGGGCCCCAGCTGCGAGAACAGGCACATCTCCTGGACAGACAGGTGTGGGCCTCACCTGTGCTGTTGGGGAAGCAGGCCTTGTGGAATTTGCCCATGTAGAACTCGAGGCCGATGATAGCGAACATGAGGATGGCGAAGAAGAGCAGCAGCCCGATCTGCAGCAGCGGAACCATGGCCTTCATGATGGACTTGAGCACCACCTGCAGACCTGGGCCAGGGCGATGGGAGAGCAGTGAGTCGGGGGGCGGGGCGCCATGGGGCGGGGCACGGAAGTCCTGGGGGCGGGGCCGGGTGTTGGGGGCGGGGCTGATCCCTGGGGGTCGGACCAAGAGTCTTTGGCTTAGGCGCCCAGCAGTGAGGACTTGAGAGAACCTGGGACAGAGCCTGGAGCCCTCAGAGAAAGGACCGAGCGGGCCCGGAAGTCCTCGGGGAAGGAGGGCGTCGCTGGGGCGGGGACAAAGCCTAGGGGTCTCCGGGGAGGTGGGCTGAGCAGCATCGCAAAGCCGGGGGAGGAGCAGGGTTGCAGGGGTGCGGAGAGGGAAGCCCGAGGGGCCTGTGGAGCGGTTAGGTGCAGAGTCCTGAGAGGGCAGATGAGGGGATCCCGAGCGGGAGCTGCAGAAGATTCTGGAAGGGGAGCGCAGAGAATTGTGGGAAGGACGAGCAGGGACTGCTGGGAGGGAAGGGCGGAGGCTGCGGAGGCCATCTTGGCGGTGACCGCCGAGGACACAGCCCGGAAGCCGAGTCCCCCTCGGGCCGTCGTTTGGAGGGCGCCCCCCCCAGAGGCCGCTGCTCCGGCTCCGCCCGGTGCCCTAGTCACAGGCCCCTGGTCCGGCCGTGGCCCGGGCCGGGGGAGGAGCAGGCTGGCGCCTCCGTGGGTTTCCCAGACTCACTCGGAATCCCAGACACCAGCTTGAGGGGCCTCAGCACCCGCACGGCCCGCAGCGTCCGCAGGTCGAAGTCGGTGCCGGCCGTGGCCAGGATCCTGGCAGACACAGACAGAGTGAGAAGGCAGCACCCCCTCCCACCACCCTTCCGCCTGCGTCGTCCTCCGGCCTGCGGGCACCACGCCCCCAGAACGACCTCCCAAGATGGAGCTTGACGGTCCTGGACAGATGGCCCCTCTTCACTGTGCCGCAGGATCCCATGGGCACCAGGGTCGGGAAGGTGGGCTCAGTAGAACCATCCCAATCAGTTCCGTTCACATGAAAACAGTGCAACTTGACGACGAAAGGGAAGACCCCACACCCACCTCTGCGGCAGCGCCCCTCCCCCACGCTCTGCCGGTGCCGTGGGAGCCCCTCTCCACCCGTTCCTGTCACTTCAGCTGTGTCCACCGCGGCCCCCACCCCACTTCCTCCCCGTTCCAACACTTGAGTGGTTTTATTACACGGTCGCTTCTCGTGCCCGTCATTCATCCCTCTCGTTTTCTCTGAACTCCCCGGGAGCCGCTTCTACGTCTCACTTGCCAGCTTCGCCTCCTCTGCCAGACTCGATACCCCAGGGCTCACTCTATGGACCCCCTATAGCTCTGAATACCACGGTGTGCTTATTACTCCAAACCAACACATTTAGCTCCAATCTGGAATTCTGGGCTCTGCATTTTAAACATTTCCACCTGGACATCAACCAAAAGCCTTTAACATTATACACCTAAAGAACTGCGTTCCAAACTTTAACGCAAGTATTAAAAATGGCCTTGTTTTTAGCTGGCTGGTGGGGCTCAGTAGATTGAGCACCGGCCTGCAAACCAAAGGGTCACCAGTTTGATTCCCAGTCAGGGCACAGGCCTGGGTTGCAGGCCAGGTCCCCAGTGGGGGGCCCATGAGAGGCAACCACACATGGATGTTTCTCTCCGTCTTTTTCTCTCTCCCTTCCCTTCTCTCTAAAAATAAACATCTTTTTTAAAAATGTCCTTGTTTTTGAAGTTCAGAGTTGCAGCAACACCATGGTCACTGAAGAGTTTCCGATTCTTACTCGCAGTCTTGCCCCTTCCCAGTGTCCCCCTCGCGGTGACCAGTCACCTGTCACTGAAGCCGAAACCAAGGCTCCATCCCGATTCCTTGCTCCCTCAGCCCACAGCCAGGTCCCCAGCAATCCCGCTGGCTGTGGCCTGTTGGCCACCGAAATGTACCTGGGATCTTGGTGGAGACGTCTCTGTGGCCCTGAATACACTGCAGTGAGGACTAAAATTCGAGGGGGGCACTGGAGTCAAAATAAGATCAAAACTCTCAGGTGGGAAAAAAGAAGAGCAGCAGGAAAACCCATTCGAAACAAATCCCGTCGGGCACGAGGACCGTGCTGAGAGGGACTCAGCTTCCGGTGTCAACTCTCGGAAAACCAACTTTGCTCAGTGGAGGTCAGAAAATCATGAAACGAGAGGGCAGAAACTAGAAGTCCTGGCAATAAACAAATAGTTACTGAAATATCAATAATAATAATGAGTCGTACTCGAGGCTGTTGACGTGCTTTGATAGTATTAATGGCTTAGAAAACAGAAGTAAGACTTCACCCACAGAGTCAGAAAGACAGAAAAACAGCCAGACAGAAGGTAAGCGATCCCACACCTAATGTGAGTTCCAGGAAAGAATCCCAAAGAAGCAACATCTGAAGAGACAACAAGTGAGAAGTTTCCAGAATTACAGACTCAAGTTCTCAAGTTTAAAGTTCACTACAAGTGCCATTCAAGTATGGCATCTCTGGATGTCCCTTTGTTCCAACTAATCTACACATTCAATGCAGTCCCTGTAAAAATCTCAACGTTTTGTATGTAGAAAACCCACCAAAAATTACTGTAACTGCCCTGGCTGGTATAGCTCAGTGGATTGAGCGCAGGCCTGCGAACCACACGATCGCAGTTCGATTCCCATTCAGGGCACGTGTCTGGGTTGCAGGCCAGTTCCCTGCAGGCCAGTTAACAGCAGAGGACGCACGAAAGGCAACCATACATTGATGTTTCTCTCCCTCTTTCCTTCCCCCCTTCCCCTCTAAAGATAGATAAATAAAACCTTTTTAAAAATTACTGTAACTAATGAATTCAATGTTTCAGGATATAAAATGAACACAAAGACAAGTTGTATTTCTATGCACCTGCCATGAACGATTAAAAACATTTTTAATCCATTTATAATAGCATGAAAAAGAATAAAATACTCAGGAATAAAATTAATCAAGGAGGCAAAAGACTTGTACGCTGAGAACTACAAACACTGCTGAGGGAAATGAAAGAACAGAAAGACATACATTCATGAATTAGAAAACAGTATCGGCCCTGGCTGGTGTAGCTCAGTGGACTGAGTGTGGGCCTGAGAACCAAAGGATGGCGGTTCGGTTCCCAGTCAGGGCACATGCCTGGGTTGCCCAGCAGGGGACACACAAGAGGCAACCACACATCAATATTTCTCTCCCTCTCTCCTTCCCTTCCCCTCTAAAGATAAATAAAATCTTTAAAAAAGAAAAAGAAAACAATATCGTTAAGATGTCAAGACTCCCCGAAGCGACCTCAGGTTCAATGCAATCCCTATCAGATTTCCAGACATTTTTTTCAGAAATAGAAAAGCTCATCCTAAAATTCACATGGAATCTCAAGGGTCCCTATAAGCCAAAAACAATCTTGGAAAAGAATAAAATTGGAGGATTTGCATTTCCTGATTTTAAAACTCACTGTTTTTTAGCGTGCAGGCCCTTCACTTTCTCTTTTCTTTTTTTAAAAGACTTTATTTACCTTATTTTTAGAGAGAGGGGAAGGGAGGGAGAGAAATATCATCGTGTGGTTGCCTCTCACATGGCCCCACTGGGAACCTGGCCCGCAACACAGGCACGTGTGCTGACTGGGAATCGAACCGGCGACCCTTTTTGGTCCGCAGCTCGCGCTCAGTCCACTGAGCTACAACAGGCAGGGTAGGTCCTTCACTTTCTGTTAGGTTTATTCTAAGTACTTTATTCTCCGTGTTGCAATTGCAAATGGAATTGTTTTCATCATTTACTTTTCTGATATTTCACTGTTAGCATAATAGAATGCTACAGACTTTTGTGCCCTGACTTTGTATTTTGCTACTTTATTGTATTTGATTATTGTTTCCGATAGTCTTTTACTGGAGTCTTTCAGGGTTTCTACTTTCACTCCCAGCTTGGATGCCGTGGATTTCTCTCTCTTGCCCCCCTGCTCTGGCCAGGGCTTCCACACCACGTTGGGTAAGAGAGGTGAGCGTGGACAGCCTGGACTTGTCCCCGAGTCTAGAGAAGAAGCTCTCAGTTCTCACTGCTGAGTCTGTGAGCTGAGGGTCTGTCCTGCACCCTCCCTATGTTGAGTTACTTTCCTTCTACGCCCATCTTACTGAGTTTTTCCGTCATAAATAGATATTGTATCTTGTCAACTGTTTTCTCTGCTGTATTGATATGATCATATGATTTTTATCCTCGTGCCCTTGGATGGACGACTGGCTAAAGAAGTGGTACAGCCCTGTCTGGCGGGCTCAGTGGATGGAGCGCTGGCCTGCGAACCAAAGGGTCGCTGGTTCAATTCCCAGTCAGGGCACCTGCTTGGGTTGTGGGCCGGGTTAGGGGCATGTTTCTCTTGCACATTGATGTTTCTCTCCCTTTCTTTCTCTTCCTTTCTCCCTCCCCCTCTCTCTAAAAATAAATAAAATCTTTAAAAAAAAAGAAGAAGTGCTACATAGATGCTATGGACACCACTCAGTCATATGATGAAAGACCGCCATTTGCGACAACATGGGTGGATCTTGCGAAGATGATGCTAAATTTAAGTCAGGCAGAAAAGGACAAGAACCGTGATTTCACTCATATGTGGGACGTCAAAGAGAAAGCAGCAGACAGACCAACTCACAGACACAGCCAACAGCGTGGTGGTCACCAGTGGGGGGAGGACGAAGAGGAAGAGGGGGCCAAGTGCCCGGTGACGGAAGGAGACTGGACCTTGGGCGGTGGGCACACAGGGCAACAGGCAGATGACGTAACACAGAAGTGTACGCTTGCAACAGGTCATGTAATTAACCAACATCATTTCGGTAAATTTAATTTAAAACATTTTTTAAACTTACTGCAAAACTGCACCAATGCAAACAGGTGGCGCTGGCAGAAGGACGGACATGCAGACACAGAACAGAACGATGGCCCGGAGACGCAGCCTCACACGCGCTCGGCTGGGTTTCAACGACGGTGTCAGAGCCCATCAGTGGGGGAAAGACAGTCAGTCTTTCCCCCACATGGGCCGGGATACGTGGATTTCCTCACGCAAAAAAAAAAGTTGGCCCCATCTCTTAGACCACATACAAAACCCAACTAAAAATGGGTCAGAGATTTAAATGTAAGACCTTAGAGAATACAATTCTTAGAAGAAAATACAGAAGAAACTCCGGGCGACATTGGATTCAGCAAAGGGCGAGAGGCCAAGAGCATGGGCAGCGACGGGAGCCCCGCCGAGTCCCCCCCAAAATCTACAGCTCTGGCCCATCGGAGGGACCACGGGCTGAGAGGCAGCCTGAAGGGTGGGAGGGGACATTCACAATCAAGTCTGACAAGGAGTTAGGAGCCAGACCACAGGAAGAAGCCCCACAAACCGATAACGACAACAAACCCCGAACGGCCAACATACATATGGAAGGCGCCCCACCCGGAAACGAGTCAGATGGGCCCCCGGCTCCCACCCCCCTGGGGGCTGCAGTCAGGGAAGACGCAGGAGTGAGCCCGCGTCGGCAGGGTGAGGAGAGGCAGGACGCCTTCGGTGCTGCTGGGGGTCTGTAAACGGCGCAGCCGCGGCAGCAGTCAGTCTGGGAGGTCCTCGCAGGTTGGGACCCTGCACACTGGGCTGTAGGTGCACACCGGAGGGAATGAACGCGGGGTGTCGAGGTGTCTGCAAACCCAGGTTCACGGCAGCTGCATCCGCAGCCGCTAGAACGTGGGAGGCACGCGGGGTCGCCACGGAGGAGCAGAGAAGCAGGTTATGGTGTGTGCTTACCACAGGCT